CAAAGCAAATATAGCTCCAATTATTGAAGGCAACCGTATAGGTACACATACAAATTAGAAACCGAACCCAAATTGTGAAAAAATTTCAATTTCATTTTCTATTTCTATGCCGTCGTCGTCAATTGTCTAAACGCGAAATAATACTTTAACATAAAATACACGTGCAAAACAAAATCGTGACTGAATAAATAAAGCTAGTAATATGAAACAGTTACTAAGAGCGGAATAAAATTATAAATATAAAATACAAGAGAAAAACGTGCAAACTCGCCCGCGATTTCTTGAGAAATGTCTACGCCAAATCACGATAAATGGTGATCAGTGAAAGTGATGCGCTGAATTATTACAACACAGTCTAATCCACCTTGACGATTGAGATTTGTGTAATTATTACCTAAACGTATCAAGGACGCTTTGCTGAACGCTCATGTGTAAATGTTAATTACAATAATCTTCACATGTCTATATGAATTCTTTTTTAATAATCCTCGAGGTCACACTCTATACGGATGTTATTAAATTGGTCTAATATACCTGAATGCGGTTTATAGCTATTGCATTACTTTCAATGTCACTAAAAGAAGATGAACTAATTTCACCTTAAGAATATTACTTATATCTTTGCAATGAAGAAGTTTATGCGATGAGATCAGATGTCGAAGGTTGTACTCAAAAACTGTTTACTGTAATGCAATTCCTTGCTTGAATTTCAATTCAAATCTGAAAATCATAGTGTTATTTTGTTTTTTAGTGGCTCTTATATTGCACAACAATTGTTTTAAGTCGTACAGTTTTTCACTAGGTTTCTTGTCATTGTCCTGCAGGTAAATCAGCATCGCGTAACATGCTGCTGAACCCATGAAGCAATTACTCATCTCATCATTAATATCGTGCACGTTTCTGAAGGGGAAATCAATTTATAGACAAAATTAAGCATTTGAAAATTTTCTCTAAATTTCATCAGAAATCTGCCGCTCACTGTTCGCAGCTCAGTGATACGCCCTGCCAAAAAACTTGGGTAACTGATCAGTGATCACGAACTAAAAACCACACTTACGTCGCTGTGTCAGGGTATTAATTTCTAATCTACTTTCCGAAAAACTTCGTAATATGAGATAATTTATTTTTCCCACAAAATTAATGATTTAAAAACCTTCTTGAACTCTGCAGACATCTCTACTACATAAATTACGCATCCTGCCACTAGGGCACATTTTTTAATTTTAAACCGATATATTTGTATTTACAGTATTACCAAAGGGTCTATTGTTAAATTCCATGAAAACGTTTTGACACGTTTTAACATTAGGGTTGGACAATCAGCCTTGGAATTAACTAACTAATATGTGACATTACGATCTATTTGTTCGCATATTGAAACTTATACGGTTTAACCGTGGGTTTATCGATGAAACTTTATTTTTTGTTAGAAATAATTTAATCTAGCGTGCACGATTGTTTGGTGACGCTTTTTACAGTTGGGTAATAACTTAGATGTCACATAATTCACTAATGTTACATGAATTCTTCTTATTACAACGTTTATTCATATCGTTCCGGTTTATTCCATTCTTTGGGTTATGAAATCACACAACCCTAATAGGTTATGGGCCCAGATTGATCCGCAAATGCGCGTTATAAGTAATGGTTTTTGTGCCGAGTTAGTGCGTTGGTGAAGTTTTGTAAAGACCACCGACATGGCTACATCCAGAATCGAATACCTTGGAAAGGATAACTTCGATACATGGAAGTTGCAAATTCAGGCTACCCTTCCAAAGGCGGATTTGTGGGAATATGTCAATGCGAGCGAATTGTGGGCACGTTTGGAAGAAATGTATCATTCAAAAGATCCTGAGAGGAAGGCTACGTTGTTGAAATAGTTAACTTTACAAAAAATGTCAAATCACGATCAGCGGAAAGTTACTTCGCGTTTGCGAAAAAGGACAATGTTAAACATAAGTGAATCAAGCCTAATCTGAACAAACACAATAATAAAAAGACTGGGGAATCTGACGAATCAATTCGTTGTATTAAATGTAAAAAATTTGGTCATCGGATAATAAACTGTTCGAATTTAAGTCAAAGTCTCATTTTTGAGAAGGAAGATTATCGAGAAATATACGACGCGAATCGCGGTTCTTTAAATCTCACGAATTCCGAAACCACGGACACGGAACAGGACAAGTTTATTTTTATGCATACGTGCGCGATCAACAAAGGAACTTGACTTTGGACAATGTGCCATCAGTTCCAAGTATAAGAACGAATCTATTATCGGCCGGTTAAATCACGGATCTTGATTTAGAAGTCGTATTTCGCGAAGAAGCGTCCGTACCACCGCAACCAATTGCTTGCGATGAATGTTACTTGATGGAGAACAAAAATACGAATGAATCGTCTGGACGAGACATACCTATTGGTGGAGTTCAAGCGAATATCTTAAAAACGAAGTGTCGAAAGAAGGCAAGTGGAACGTCTGGACGAGAGACATCTACCGACGATGGGAAGGGGCTCAATTCTTCTTGCACTATATATTGCTGTGTTTATTTCATCCGGCAGGATGATCTTAATTAAGATGGGCAAGGACGGTCTCCTTTTGTATAATTAACATTTGTGATTAAATCTTAGTAATTTGTCGTTGGTCTATGTAACAGCATGGAAATTATTATGTCATACGAGAAAGCGGTCAAGGTTGTTTTTGTTTACCTTTTTATTTTATTTAACGTAGAAATTTCCGGGAACTTTGTTTGGTTCAAATGTAAATGCTTCATTTAATTGACAGGTGGATGTGATATCATCTTTTCTATGTAATTAAGAGAGATGAAATGTTATTTTTTCCTATAATTTAAGTTTGGATTTCTGTCTTAATGTCTGATAAGAAATGTTTAGTAAAATTATTCGACCTCTATTATTTTGGTCTATTAACGTACGTTGAGAGGATAGTCTGTGTTGTCAACTGTGTATGATTGGTTTTTATAATTTTGATTTTCGGAAGAAGGGTTTTCGCCTTAAATATGACGGAAAGAGGAAAAGGGTCGCTTATGGCCAAGTTCAGCGCGGAACTATGTTTCCTTGAAAATTTAAATCAGCTTTTTGCTACGTTCAGCACCGAGTTACGTTTTGTAGAAGAATCTATTTCGTTTTTTTGCCAGTTACATCGTGGATTTTTTTTGTGTTGAAGCGAAAGCCAGAATTCAATGTTTCGTTTAACGTGAGTTTGAAGTTTGAAGAAGTTTCGTTTGCGTAGCCGGAAGCCGAATTCGAGTAGGGACATCTTAGATTACCCGGTCGTCAGTGTAAAGTGTAGTAATTTGTGTTGATAATTGAAAATTGTTTTTGTGTACGGATACCTTTTTATTTGGATTACAATTCCCGGACATGTAATGTAAGTAACTAAGTCTTACTTTTAGTTTTTTTGTGTAATATTTGTTTGTGTGTGTATCATTTTCCTGGTGTGTGTTACGATTAAATTCTTTTGTCTCACACTAATTTTGAGGTGCAAGTATGCTTTTTGAATGCAACAAAAAACATGCATTTTTGTAAAGCAATCCTAGACGGTATAGTATATTTCTCTAGAAATACGCAAAAGCACAGAATCTATGCAAATAGTAAACGTAAGTAGAAAAAATTTCAATCCATTGCAACTACGTCTACACAAACTTCTGTTACTTTTGAGAAAAGGAAATAAGGAATGCAATAAATAGGATTACCAACTACGTACATATGCCGGGATTTATGTAGGCAGTATTTCAAATACGTAGCCAATAAGAAAGTCCCTTCCTTGGAACTTGTCAATATTTGTGAATGGCTATTGTTCCAGTTATTTTGTGTTTAAAATTACGCAAGCGTGAAGCGATTGTAATTTTTGAGCTCTACTTTCTCAAAGGGCAAATCTCTTTATCTTTATTCATTTAAAATTAAATTCTAAGCTTTTGAGATAGCTTTCCTCTGTTTATCTTTTTACGGCGGCGTGGGAGAGCAAAAAATGGAGTCGTTCCGTTTTGAAAAGTAAACGTGAATAAATTCTATGGGCGACAACTAGTATATGTCAAATCAAATAGTACAATTTATTAAACTACTACCCTATTTTGGTTTGCCACCAAATTTTTGGTGGGCGAAGAAAGCTTACAAAGCAAAAATGATAGGTCTAGGCCAAACCGATTTATAATGCAGGTGGGGTCATAAACTCAATTGCAAAACATTTCGAAAACGGTTTCGTAAGGAAAGTAGCAGATCTGGACGGAATGTGGAGTCAAAATTTTGAAAAGCTTTTCGATGCGAGTCTAAAAACTTTGAATGTTATCGGACCACTAAAAAATACTTGCTTCTTGTGCATATAGGTACATCCATTCAAAAATACATTTAACCCATACCGCGTGTCCCAGGTTGAACGCACCATAGGCAAACAATTTTGCGCAAAGTTCACGAGGCCTTAGATATGCATTTGAAGTGTATGATTCGAGAAAAAGCACATTGCCGTTTCCCTATGGTGCGTAAGTGCGTTCTACCTGGGACCGTCACATGCAGTGTATGTGACGGAAAACCAACTGCTCAGAATCACCAATTCTTGAATTTTGGTTGAAATTTGTTTTATAGGCTGTAGCAACTCGCGTCAACGTGGCGTAATAAAATAAGATGTTAAGGTATGGTTTTTACATAAAATATTTAGTTTATACTAACAATGCTATCGTCAACATAACTCACTAAAAAAAATGTTTCCCCTGTTCAGTCCGAATCTGTAGATCGCATTACTACACTGTTTTTTCAGGAATTAATCAGCCCTGTGATGTATCAATAACGTTAAACTTAACGTGCAGGTTATATATTAAAAACGTTATTCCGCCTATACTATAAATAATGTAAAATAACGTTTTTTGGCAGATAACCTGCGCGTTAAGTTTTACGTTTCTGATACACTGAATGTCATCATTTGTTGTCTCACTTGGGATTGTATCAATCAATGATCGAATTTGAAGGTTGTCAATATTACGCATCAGGTGTAAAGCAAAAGGTAGCTACCTGTTTTTATTACTTTTCATCACAAAAGTATGAAACAAAAAAGACGTACCTAGTTAAAAAATTGGATCAACATTTAGATAGGAATTATTGCAATATTTATGACTTGATTCTTAAAAAAAAAAGATTTTAATAATCGAGTAAATTCCGGATGGCCTGAAGACATCTCCATTTATCTGGTAAATAGAAGGGTTCAAATATATAAGGAAATGGTGTGTCGAAACCCGTGACTCTCGCTACGGGAGCTTCTAGCTGTAGAAAACATTCTTCCTGTAAAAGACATAATTGTAATGAACGAATGACATGGATTGCAATGCATCTTATAATAATCACATTATATGCACGTGATTACTCTCTTTCTAGGGCCAGCTGTATCATTTCAGAGAATTGGTTTTTTTGTAACCTGCAGTACACAACTGGCCCTTATACACGTACTTGAATAGTGGATGCTAATTCAGCTCCAAAACCTCCTGTCAGAGGTGCTTCATGCGCGATTAAAGCTCGACCGGTCTTCCTCACCGACTAAAAAATCAAGGTACTTTTGGATAGGCTTAAAAAGTTTGTGTTAACACGAACCTTGCAGACTGCATCCTTGTCCCAGGGTAAAATAGATACAAGGTCTATGACTTCACAGTCGACATTGAACTTGGTTTTCGCTAATTCTGCCACTTCCATCAGAACGTGAACTTGTGTACCCCAACCTATAAGTGTAACCGCGTCACCTGAAAGCACATTATAAGGATGAAACTCGCGTACCTTAATACTATCGGGGAAAATTTCACAAACAAATTTACCCAAATGACTCATAAAAATGAAACGGTGTCGAATAAATGGAACCCCATTTTCAACTTAATTGTTTAATCCCAACTGCCAGCCCTCATATTCAACTGGGATACGCATAAAGACAGTTATTTTAAATTGGAGCGTTCCTAAATTTTAATTGACAACCTTGTTAATAAAGTAGGTCATGTTAGCAGCTTCGATGGTCACATTCGGATTTATGGATTGCAATTAAAACCGGACCAACTTTAAAATACTCATTCCTACAAATAGTGTATCTATCCGTAATGTTTACATTTCTTAAGTGAATATTTATATTGTACTTAATGAAACTACATTGCTCGAATATTGCTTATCTTTAAAAAGTTGACAACACCGATTGGATGCTGTCAGCAGTTTCCTATTGTAACTATATGATGTGTGAAGTCGAGTTAAAATTGATTTACATATTTTATATCAGTTTATTACAAAACATGGCCCACAATCTCCCTCTCATGCATATTAATGACGATAAATAATCCAACATACAAAAATTATATTCCCTTGGTGAATAAACTGATTTCCAATTACATATACCTACAGACGCATTTTATGTTGGGTCTATCAAGTGTAAACTGAACTAGGAACGGAGGAGGTAAAATACTTTTTAGGCAAAATAGCAAAGTTGATTTTCCCATGTTCACGTTTAACACGGAAGCGTTTATTCGTCGCATATTTATTTTCATCAAGGGCGCAAACAACCAAAAAAATCTAATAGATGCAATGGCCTTTCTGTACAAAATTCAGGAAATACATTTACTGATACCGATGTGAACAGATCATCGCTCGAAAAATTAGTGGAGGTCGTGAGATTAGGTGATCTGGATTCGTACTAAATTACCTAAGGAAAAGGTTTGAGTAACATTTTATTTCCTCAATTTGTATTTTAATCAGAAAGGTGTTGCATCAGTTTTGGTTAGCAATCAAGCTTGACGTCTTACAAATATTTTTGCGGTTTGTATTCTAAATGATTCCTAAAATTACCAACTTACCATCTTTTAAAACTTCAGCTTTTCCTATTGGTGTAAGATACTCGTCTATGGGCACTTCGTCCACTGCAGCACGGTATAATACTTTTGGTTCCAAAACAATACATGGATCGGGGTCCCTAATGCAAGACAGTAGCAATCCTTTTGCTTGTGTAGCGCCCCTGGGAACAACAACCTAAAACGCGTAGTTACAGTAACAAGATCAGCATCTGGCACACTTGCTTTTAAACCAGGTGTATGCGCAAAGTAACTTTCGGGACTCTGGGAATGGTAAAGACCACCATGACCGACTGCTCCACATGGTGTTCTGATTGTCAACTTTCCGCAATCAAATTGGCTTCCACTACGATATCTAAATTTAGCAGCTTCATTTACTATCTAAAACAAAAAGAATTATGCAACATAATCCATTTGGTAATAGTACCTGATCAAACGCTGGGTAAATGTAATCGGCGAATTGTATTTCGGCAATTGCGGTTGATCCAGCCGTGGCTACACCAATACCAAACCCCACTATGCCCTGTTCGCACAACGGCGTATTAAAAACCCTTTCTGATCCGTACTTCTTTTGTAGGTCAAGCGAACACCTAAATACACCGCCAAATGCCACATCTTCTCCAAACAGTAAAGCCGTTTCGTCGGTTTGAAGAGTAATATCCAAAGCGTTATTGATAGCCTGCACCATATTTAATTTCTTTGTTGGTCCTAAAAGTGCAGAAATTTTCATTAACATTTCATTAAGTTAAATTTGCTAAATTTAAAGCCGTTTCAAAGAATGAAAGCACCTTGGGGATACCTGTTTTACTTTTCATAATAAGTGAACATATTTTTCTAATTTGATTTTATTTTAAAAGAAAAATTTGCACGATATTGTAGCGAACCTTCCAGAAATCTCGATAGATATCGAGGCATCTTGAAAAGTCAGTGACGATAAAGAACGAAAGCGGATGTGACGTCATCTTTCCAAGAAATATTACGTATTTGTTCGAGAACGTTGTAAAATAGTCGTATGCCTTCGGAATCGCTCGACATCTTTCGAGAGTTCGCTATATAAGCAAACGAATTGTGCTTCAGTTCTTATTTCGACGCCTATTATTACTAGTAATAGTAATAATAGAAAAATTTCTCAAAAAAATAAGAAACGAAATGGGACGTTTGCGATTCCTCTTACAAACCTATACAGATTCCAAATTTCATCAAAATCGATTTAGGAGTTTTTGAGTTATCCTCTTCACAAAAAACGAACCACGTACATGCATACAGCTATACAAAACTCTACAAAAAAATCCATTACAATTTTTTGCGAGTTTCTTAGTTTTAGAGAAATTTTAAATTGAAAAATTATACTATTTCTTTCATAATTTTTTTTTATTTGCACCTTTCTCGAAAACTCAACCCGATAGCGAAAAATGTGAAATTAAAAAAGCCTTAGGTATACACTTTTTGTGTCGAAAGTATTGACAAATGTAAACCTTTCAAATATCTATCAATGGATTTTAAAATCTGGGTATTTAGTTAAGACACTAGGGGTTTGCATATATTCCGGAATACCTAAATATTTCATTAAAGAAATGGGAATTTTTGTACACCGAGTCCCTCATAAACCTCACATTTATGAAATTTAAATTACAAAAATTACTTGGAAACATTGGAACCCTTGTGGCCGTTGAACTTATAAAAAAGTAAGACAAAAACACCAATAATCAAATGGTGTTTTCGTTTTATACCTTTTAGGCCTAATATTTACATATAAGCAAATGTACAGGATGAGTCAACAATTGTGCAGTTTCACTTAGTGCTTTAAAGATATGATTTTTAGATAGAATGCTTTTGTATTATACTATTGTTCCACATTTTAAAATTTTTTTGAATTATGCACTATACACGCCGCGTTCACTAAGTTCACTAAAAAGGTACATTTTTGTAAATGGAACATCCTGTATTTTTTATTATATGGTTAATATACGAAGAACTTTGTAGTTTTAAAGATAATTCGATTTAAGTACGTATAAGGAAAATTCGCATTTGCAAGCGTCAGTTTAATGTCAAAATTACTACTTAAATTTTTGAGTCCAGACTCAATATCATTTATCTTCGGTAAAGTAACAGTCAAATAAATATTACATTTACTATGAAACAATTACAAATAAATTTACAGGGTGGTTTCTTTGTGGGTTCCGTTGCAAAATGTGATATTAACAAATCTCCCTTTTGTAAATGAAACACCTTGCATATTTTTCTGTAATTTTTTAAAAACCTTCAATTTTTGATAATAGTGTCCTATATACCTATCTCTCATAGTTTTCGAAATATCTTGGTTTTCCTGGTTTTTGTTGTAATGACCATAGTAACAACTTTTCATGACCATGAAAATTCGTCATACACCTTATAAACACCGTCCTTTTAGTGGCAGGACGTTTAGATAGTCAATTCTTGAAATATTTTGGTCTCATCGTGGACTGTGCCCATTTCAACCGCTCACTGGTCATAATAGTCATATAATCATTTTTTATTTTTTGGGAAGATATGGCACAAAATAGGTATACGAATCACTTTTTGGTGAAAGTTTCCATGATATTCGTCCGGGTCCGCATCAATACAGAAAGACTTTGGGCCAAATTTGGCCTATTCCTTTTGACGTCATTAATCCTTTTGATATAATCAAAGTTATTTACATAACAAATTTTGTGACATAGTTTCCGCTTTATTAAAATCACAAGTAATCCGGTGAACCTAATTAAACTGATGATGTATAATTTCTACTGTGATCGAGGCTGAAGTAGTCAAAGATCATCAGTATTTGTGGATGTCTTTTGGAGATTAATGGTACTTAATTTTGCTCTTATATTTTATTTTAGAAATTGCATGGGTCCATGGCACTTACGATTTCATTATTTGTCGCAAGTCTCTTGAAATAAATAGTAGTTTGAGGGTGGTTAACCAATTCAAATCAAATTTTATCATGACGATGGCGTCGGTTCATTCCAGAAAAGTGTATCCAGCATATCTTTGGGCACGAATCATTTTAGTCGAGGAAATTGGTAGTGCTACTACTGTTGTGAAATTGTTCGACCTCGTCTAGACATATGATTTTTGACTTCTAAATTCACAAACCCAGTTTTTAATAGTAGCCTATGACGGACACTGATCACGTAAAGGGCCCCATTCACATGCGGATATGTACGGCGGACAGATCCGTGTTGAGCTACACACAAGCGGATATGGCTGTACACAGATCACGGACAAATCTCAATAGACGAGCAGGCGGCGTTCTGTCGCTATTTCAGTTCTGTAGTAGCCCTGGGTTGTGTTCTTTTGAGTGCTGTGGTAATTGGTATGGATCATAAGGAGAAATTTACAATAATTGGAGGAGGAGGTTTTATTTGAAGATACGAAATACGTTCGCCCAGTTATTGAGAGGAATGATACCCACATGAGGCAGTTACCAGTAGAGAGCGATTAATTGCCACGCTATAGTACTTAGCAACTTGAAAGAATTTTGAAGACCTAACATTCAGTTGTGCAATCTCCCCTCAGCTTCTCGGGAAAATTATACCTGAAACTTTCAAATAAGCCACCAGCCTTGGCAGAATATGCTCGGAAATGGCATAAAATAATTTCATTAGTAGTTAGGTGTGCTTGGTTTGTGGAGTAAGGCACTACAATCTTTAATTCTTTACCAGTATTTAAATTGTGCCCCAAAGATGCGCATTTTGTTCTGGAATGTTAATATCACCATAGTCTTCAAATTTTACTTTTAAGATATCCCCAAAAGGTAACTGATCGGATTGTATTTGACTAACAATTTCACCAACAGTTCGGTGTTGTTACGCAATTTTGCTTGTAAAATTACCCAAAAGATCATTTAAATCTTTAGCACAATTTGCGCCTGCATTATATTCAAAGTAATTTAAACAAAATATTTTTTTAAATGACTGTTTAATTGGAGTAGGTTGAGTCGCATTTCCATTTTGATTTCTTAAATTTCCAAACATATTTTCAAGAATTACGTATTTGATGATTCTATGTCCGGCAAACAAATCCGTGAAACGACTACACACGTGCGTATTTGTCGGGCTCGCTGTCCGTGCTCGTCGTTCTGATCGACGGATGGCGAGCAAGATATGTACGCCGAACACGCGGATACACACATACGAATTGATACGGATCTGTCCCGCGTACATGTCCGCCGTACAGATCCGCCGTACATATCCGCATGTGAATGGTACCTTTTAGGGGGCGACAAAAATTCGTTTGCCGCGCAACTCTTTCAAATATAAACCAAACCCGTTTTCTCAGACGTGTCGTTTCCAAAAATTACAAATTTGGTCACAATTGAACATTTGAACGCTAAACTTGGACATGTACTCATTCAAGAACGATATTTTAGATCCTATACACGTATTTAAGGAAATGGCACCCTTGGGCCACACTTTTTTTGTATTTTTTATTAAAGAAACCTACATAAATAAAAACATAAAATTATAAACGTCCAGAATATGAAATTTAGGTAGCTAATTTACGTTATGCTGAACTTGGCCAATTTTTTCGAAGCCTACAATTGATTCATTATGATAATTTGCTCTTTTGCAAAGTTAAACTTATGTTAATATCATACGACTGGTTCTTAGCGGAATAATTGACTAGTGCTCCTATAAATACAAAAATTCTTGCGCTGTCGCTTTCTTGAACGAAAACTGAAAGCAAGGCCGCCATACGACAATTTTTAAAGTGTAGGTAATGAAAGGTTGTATGAACTATCGAGTATGATTATTACGATCAGAGGTTCTAATAAAATTCATAGGATTTGCATTAAATAAGTAGAACATATTTTATTGTCAAACGTTTATCCGGTTTATCAACATATAGGTACGTTTTGCTCTCATGAAAAAAATACGCCGTATACCGACTAAAATAAGCACCATGCACCACGGAGACAAAAGTAAATTATATCAAAGAGTACATATCGAAATAATATATTCTTTGATGATAATTATATCTAATATTTTGATAACAACCCGTTTCAGAACTGTAGTGTCATCTACTATCTGATTGTGAAAGGTAGACGAATGCTCAGTTATTTCGTGTAGTAAGTTACTACTAGTAACAAACGGATTCAATTGGTACTACAATATAGCAGGAATTTTGCGTTGTGGTACGAGAAATAACTAACAGAGTGTGCATGATGAAAGTATTCTCGTCTGAAAATTCTGAAATAATTAGCACATGTTTGTGTAAATTACTGCTTACCTTCAGCTGGAGTACTCGTGGTTGGGTAATAATTAAAAAAATTCCGTACGGAGAAAACACTAGCAACATTTTTTAATTCTTTAAAAACTAAGGAATTATTTAACAATGTTGAACTTAATTTGTTTAACGCCATTTTTTTCGATAAACAGATAGATACTACTGTGGCCCGACGTTTCGCTTCTACATAACGTAATGACGCATTGTGTATGAAAATGTGATACCAGTTTGATAATGGTGTAACTCTGTTTGCATAAGTTTTGTATTATCGAAGGTGATATTTCAATATTTTGTAGTTTTAATGTATTCGTTGCTATATAATGTCAAAGTCCAATCCGTAATATTGGGTGCCAACCGTGAAATTCGTTTTCCATTTCCGCAGTATTGTACGAAGCTCTGGATAGGACACATAGGAAATTATTTTGTAAATTACAGTTGTAACTGGGAACTATACTAATTTACAGGTGTAACTGGGAATTAGTTTATAATTTACAGTTGCAATTGGGATGGGAATTACACTAATTAACAGTTGTAACTGGGAATTATGCTAATTTACAGTTGTAACTGGGAATTATACTAATTTACAGTTGTAACTAGGAATTAGTTTATAATTTACAGTTGTAATTGGGAATTACACTAATTTACAGTTGTAATTGGGAATTACACTAATTTACAGTTGTAACTGGGAATTAAACTAATTTACCGTTGTAACTGTCAAGGATAATTCCCAGTTACAACTGTAAATTAGTATAATTCTCAGTTACAGTTACAACTGTAAATTAGTGTAATTGAGAATTACAACTGTAAATTCTAAACTAATTCCCAGTTACAACTGTAAATTATCATAATTCCCAGTTACAACTGTAAATTAGTGTAATTCCCAATTACAACTGTAGATTATAAACTAATTGCCAGTTACAACTGTAAATTAGTATAATTCCCAGTTACAACTGTAATTTACAAAAAATTTCCTATGTGTCCTATCCAGAGCTTCGTAGTATTGGCTATTGGGTCTTGTCGCAGACATTTGGCGTATACCTCATAATTAGTCTTTCGTGTTTGTCGTCCGTCGGTGTGTGGATATGCTTTGATGAATTTTTTTCAACTTCCTGAGGGTGCTAAAAAAGTGACAATGTTGTTCTATCAAGTCGGATATTGCAGCCATAATCTCCACGACTTTTGAGGTCGTTTTAAGTTCATTTGAGATCTCTTCTTTTATATCAATCATATATCATCGCACATACACTATCATCTGGCAACATTGTGCAACATCAATGCTAATATCATTTTATGTAAATATGCTGACGACCCCTCTGCAAATTTTTCCGGCTACAGTAGTCAACAGTGCTAACAAAACAATTCGAGATATGTCCTATTGTTGTGCCTCCAGTTATTTGAAGTTAAATGAAGAAAACACAGGTGTGATCACTGATCACATTCCGAAGTGTGCGCGTTAATCCGTCCTGCGTCTGGAGTGAATTCAAATTTTGTCCTAGCACAAAGCACTAAGGAAACATTTTTAGGTGTAACAGTAAATGAAAACCTTAGTTGGACATCGCACATAACCGGACTATGCAGAAAATTACGTACTGCTAGTTATGCCGTTCTGTGTCGCTCACACGTACAAAGTCATCTTTCGTACGCCATTATTGCCTGAGGAAGTTCTTCTACCGCAAAAAGAACCCTGACACTGCAGAAAAGAATAATTCTTCATATTTACCTTATTATAGTACAGTTAAAATGATGTAAAAATTCCCTTGCCCTGGCAAAATTGCAACACCAACTTTTACATTACACTGCGAGAAGTGTCTATTTTAACATATTCAAAATCCCCTCGTCGATACCGGCCCAAGCAAACAGTCAAAATCAAAGGCGGTCGCTGAATTTTGTACGTTTTATTTAAAAATTGTTATTTTCATTTGCTATTTCAATGAAATGTGGCAAACATGTTTAACATACTTTTAATTCGGCTCATATTCAATAGCACTGATCCTTGAACTCGTAGAAATCGATTAGAGAAAGTTTGACATCGCTATCTCTTTTCGTTCTCGAGTTAGGCGAGGAACAGACCGATAGACAGACTGCTAAACCATCACATAAGGGGAATTTCGATTTCTTCATCTGGTATTCGCTGCGGGCTATTTTCACATCTTGTTTTTTGACACTGACCACATGTACATCCAAACCATTCTTTCGCAATTACATTTCATTGCACCACGACCAGCTTGCGGTTACATCTTACTATGCGTGATATACCTACTTTCAGGTGCTTTTCATCAAAAGATTAATGAAGCGGAAATTGCGCAAATCCCACATTTTTGTTGCCGTCGAGGTGGTAAGTCAGTTTCGGATTCGGCAGCAGGATTGCTTTTTTTGCATAAAACAAGATGATTTGCTTCTAGAGCATTATTTTTGGGAATTTTATTATTTATTTATTATCTTTTTAAAATCTTTGTGATGGGAGAGAACTGACTTTTGGATTTAATAAATTCCTATTACATTAACATCCTATTACAACTAATTTAACTCTGATCTTTGATATCGAAAAATACGCAAAAGATGCTTTATCGGCAGCTTTAGGCAACGACCTATCCTACGCTTGGATTTGATTTTTTGTGGTTCCAGTGTTTTGAATTTGAATTGAATTATTTTCACTTTCCACTTTAATAATACAACGTCGTTTCCACCGTTCCCTTTGTTCAGCACAGCAGTCTAGCAGTCTAGTTCTATTACTTAATTACATGGTTAATTTATATTCATTCATTGTATCTATCTATATCACACAGCGGGCAATAACGGTCGAATTAAATCGTCTTCTCAGATCTTGACCTAGTTTATGTTTCCCTTTCTACAAAAAATTAACCTTGCTAACCTGAGACGTTGCGTAACATAACGGTTCAATTAAACTTTCCTCTGTCGGCCAATACCGAATTAAAAAAGGTGAAAGCAAAATATCTCGTCCTGCAGTTTGTAGTAAGGTTTTTATCTGTAAGCCTTATAAAAACCATATTTTACTCAGACTTCGACGTACATACATAAAACATACTAGTGCGACAACAGAGGGATGCATCTGATGATTGATGAAGTGGCTTTATATTAGAAATGGAGCACCTATTGATCGGCAACGACCTATTACCTACCAAATTGTACCGGTAAAGAAATTGACATACTGCCCGAATATGACAACAATTAACGATGGTGAAAGTTCTGGTAATTTCCCATAATACTAAAATTCATGAATTATTGAGCATCGCTAAACCGCCATCATCATTACCTAAATAAATCAAAAGAACCTACCTATATCCCTGGCATTAATTGTATTTAAAAGTGAATACAACGCCCATAGTTGGGGAAACACTTGCGTAGTCTATTCACGTTAAACAATAAACAGTATAATACAATGAAGGAATTAATACAGGATCTTCCTACGCCAAAATTTCGAAATTTCTTTAGCAGCTGGTTTAGAGGTTAAATATTCGCTTTCACGCAATTGTTGTTTTCAAATAGAAACCATGTTGCACACATGGAACTGGTTTTGAAATGATTATTATTCACGATTAAACGTAATAGAAGATACTAATTAAGCGTGTAACATTTGGACAAATTTCGGGTTCTTCACAAACCAACACTATCGATTTTCGGACTTCTGTTTCAAGTGTCTTCGCCTATATTCGCGATCGGTTTTGTATACATAAATAAAGATTTCATTTTTATCACCCGCACGTTAGTAAGAGAGTTATTGGCATTGGGGTAAAAAATAACCTCCTATACTTTTTTGACAGAAATACATGTTGTGATCTCGGCCTGTCGGTGTGTCTATCTGCCTCTGTACTATCATTTCCGACTAAACGGCTAAACCGATTGGAACAAAATTTGGTACACATTACACATTATATTCTTAGACATAAAAGGAAGAGTTAAAGAGCCTTTGAGCGGAATCGCGCATACGTACATAGGTATGCGGATGGTATCTGTGCTAGCCACAGATTTTTTTTTCTTTGGGCACGGGATTACCTATACGTAACTGAACGAAATCTGATCCACCTAGGTATTGGATACTACGGAAATATTGGAAAAGTTCAGTATTATGACGATTTGAAAAATTTGGAGTTTAGGAAGAGGAAATATGAACTTTTGAAATATTCTTTAGAAACTAAATCGAGACTCTTTTATGTATCGCTCAAACAAAACTAATTTTTATGCCTAAATTTAAGGTAAAACTTATTAGCATTAACATTACATTAGGTGTTTTTTTAAAATTATTGTATGGAATTTCCTAGAGCGATATCCAGGCATCAACCATCAAGATTGAAGTCGCTTACATCATTCTGGGATCAAGCATTCTTAAAAAAAGGTATTAACAAAGAAACTGAATGGAAACTAGAATGATCTACTTCAGAAGTTTTCAATAAAAGTATTGTTAAAGATCCTACAACTAGAATTCCTAGTTTCCTCTTCCTAGAAATCTCCGGTGTAAGGTAAATCGACTAAGAACTGGTATTTGGTACGCGATGCTGTTTAAACGGATTATAACCCCTCCCACCCACCCTTATTATTATTATTTTAGCCGTTACGCAGCAAGGTAGGAAGGTTCATTAAATCCCAAAAAGGCACAAAACCTTCCCCATACTAATTTTATAGACAAACTGTAAAAGCAGCGACTAGTTTCGACCAACGGTCATCTTCTGGCTTAAGGAAATTACATAATAACACTTTTTCAAACATTTAGAAGTTTTTAGAAAGTTTTATTCTGTAATTTCCTTAAGCCAGAAGATGACTGTTGGTCGAAACTAGTCGCTGCTATTACGATTTGTCTATTAAATTAGTATGGGGAAGGTTTTTTGGGATTAACGACTCTATTATACACAACCCCATTTTGAGTTTCATTACACCATGGATATAGGTAATTTTAAGACATTTTAGTTGGAATAAACTGTACACCTACCTACTCTTTAAATTAAATTGTGTAAAAAATCTGTACAATTCTGTACATTTCGCTAGGGTTCGGGTTGAGACACAGAGATGGTTACACTAATCCTTGTTTTCTGGCTTTCTTTGTCGCGAATGCTTCAACCAAATCATTAATGGTCGATAGTTTGTGCTATATTGTATATATTCTAATCTCTTTTGGGTCATCGGATTTACGTCTTACTTAGTTGGACGGACAGACGAACGGTCAAAACGAAAACAATAGCAAATTTTTTTTTAATTCTTAAAAAGTGCGGTAAAAATGAAGCTGAGCTTATAAACGCGCGCTCTACTGTATGGCGTAATTTTGTTATTTTTCCTAGGGGCAAAATTAGCCACCTTTTGCAAGGCGCGCGTCTTCGAGGGGTAGTCGACGTTGGGCGCCCAAAGGTTTCATAGATCTGCAATCGCGGTCTTTCTTTCTCGTGTCGCGAATAGAAACTCGAGCTATGAGTACTGTCCAAAAATTGAGTACTATTTTGTGGCGAGTTTTTAATGAAACCACCAAAATGCGAATTGCGAATGAACGGGACCTCGGAAATGGGTACCGACAAAGGAACGTGGTAGTGTCCGCCAAGATCTTAATGATGGTGGAAGTTAATTGTCAATAACATAAGAGCGACGATCAATTTGTATAAAATATTGGAAATGTGTTTCTTTAATAATGTGATGTGATAAAAACGAGTAAAGATGACGCTCTTCTCCTTCATAGATAGTCTAAAATCGGTTTGCTCCAAACTTTTATATATTGAAATAATTTTAGTTTGTATTGTCGTTAATTAATCCGTATCTCCAATACGGTTTATATGACATAGTAAAAGTGAAGACACGCGGTTGAAGAAAATTTCTATATAAGGTCGGCCGCAAGTTTCCCTATCATTATTAAAGTTTCGTAAGACTAATTTTACGGTAAGTAACAATAATTGTTTGTAGTAACATCTTGCAACAATCGCATGTGAGCTAGTAAGAAAAAAAATTCAAGGCCTTGCCGCATTGACATTGTGTTACAATTTGATTACCTATACCAGATGCAAATACTATCTGGGTCATTATTAAGTGAAAGTAATTCGTCATTCTAAATAATAATCTCAAGAACCGTAGGTGCAGTGCGTGTTGAAATACTGAAGAACTTGGAATAGGACAAGGAATTACGTAATGCGTTAAGTATGGGGTAGAAATCAGAAACACCGGCGTTTAATCAGTATAATTCGCAACTTTGAGACGACCGGTGTGTCACCCGTGAATTTCTCATGTACCTACTAAAATGGAGGTTAATTTTCTAATATCTGTTCTCGGTGCTATTACATGCTTTGTAGTGATATATTTTAAATACAGTTTTAATTATTGGCTATCGAGAGGGATTCCGCAAATTCCTCCCGCGTTCCCATTTGGGACCATAACAAAGGTATTCTTGCGCCAGCAAATGTTAGGGGATAGAATAAGGGAAGTTTATAATATAATGAAGGGACACGAATGTGTGGGTGTTTACTTTTTTAATCAACCAGTGCTGATCCCTTTAAGTCGTGACCTAATGAAACACATTTTAACTAAAGACTTCCAAGCTTTTCATGATAGAGGGATTTATTACGACGAAGACAATGATCCTTTAAGTGCGCATTTATTTTCTTTAAGTGGAGTGAAGTGGCGTACGTTAAGAAATAAACTTAGCCCAGCATTTACTTCGGGAAAACTAAAATTTATGTTGGAGACGATTTTAAAGTGCGGTATTCAAATGCAAAACGTCCTGTCTGATTTGGCAGAAGTTTCCAAGGAAGTCGAAATGAAAGATACTATGGCTAGGTTCACCACCGATGTCATAGGGTCTTGTGCGTTTGGATTAGAATGCAATACCATGAAGGAGCCCAATACAAAATTTAGACTAATGGGACGAAGAGCTTTTACGCAAACGATTTCAGATATGTTACGCATCATACTAATTTATTTATGCCCGACGTTAGTGAAGCCCTTCGGTTTTGGGGTGTTCTCAAGTGAAGTAACTGACTTCTTTAAAAATATTGTAAAGGACACCATGGATTATAGGGAACGTAATAAAATTTCGCGCAAAGACTTTTTACAGCTGTTAATACAATTAAAACAAAATGGACGATTGGATAATGATGACCATTCGAATAACGAAGGGTGCGATACGCCCGGCACCGTGCTAACATTCGACGAGGCTGCCGCACAGGCATTCATTTTTTTCCTGGCGGGTTTTGAAACCACGTCAGCGACGATGAGCTTCGCAGTGTTCGAAATGTGTGTGAATTTGGACATACAAGAGCGCGCTCGCCAAGATGTCCGATCAGCTTTGCGAAAATACGATAATCAATTAACTTACGAGTGTCTAACCGAAATGCCATACCTTGACACAGTAATATCAGGTAACCTCAATCTTTTCGTGTTTAAACACTAATTTTGTCCTCAAATACCTTAGAAACCTTACGCAAGTACCCTCCAGCGCCGGTATATGCACGCAAAGCGACGGAAGATTACAAAATTCCTGGTACAAAGATGACAATACCGAACAATTCGCCTGTTTTGTTGCCAATATGGGGAATTCAGCACGATCCAGAATTTTGGCCTAATCCGGAGAACTTTGACCCGGAACGATTTAGCGAAGAAAATAAGTCGAAAATATTAGATTACACTTATCTACCGTTCGGAGAAGGACCCCGAGTGTGCATTGGTAAATCTTCACATTATTTATACTTTATTTATGAGAGAATTCACAGGCTTTCTTGTTCATTAAGATCTTAATTGGCTGCAAATTGTCACTAAATTTGCGACGCAATACCTGTATTACTAAATGAAAGTTGATTACTTACAGTTAGCTTGTCTACTCATTTAAGGATCTATGAGGATTGAAAACGGTCTTGGACTACTTGTATATCTACGAATTGTAATGGTATATGCAATATCTAATTAACCTGTTCTATTGCATGACCACAAAGGATTAAAGATATTTAGAGGTAAATGAACGTACCGTAAAAAACAAATGTTACATCATGTAAACAGCCTTGACCTAGTATTTAAAGGTTCTATGTTAACTTTTTTTGTTCCTTTGATTCAATCTCGTGCACCAGTGGGAAAGTATTCCGAAATTCAATAAAAAAATTATGCACTGGACTAAGAAAAGGCCGATTTCACTTTGCCTTATTGTATCATAAGTTTACCGAACGATTATATTTGCTTAACACAAATTCGAATTCCTGAAAAATAAATTCGTTTTCACTTGATTTCATATGACGTCCATAGAGGTCGACTGAGTTGAACTGTGAGTCACCTACGAAGTTTACGATTTGTTGCCAAATTAAGTAATAAATATGTATTTACGAATATTAAAGTTTGTATGAAATGATGAAACAAAATTTTAAAATAATGCTAATTTCCATCTCCTCAGTACAAAATGTGCTACGTGAACAGAGCCCACTGCCCATAAATTGTACCGTTGGCCTAATTTAAAAGATATATAATTGGCGTTGTGCTTTACTCTCATTTTACATCAATCGTTAAATAAGATTCAACATTTAATAGCATACTATTACCATTGAATAAGTAATTGCTTATTGCAGCTCCAAAATGTTTGTTTGTTGGGTATGTGTAAAATGATACCGTTTATGAGAAAAAAAGTACCTTTTGTTATTCCACGTTTTCGTACTAGTTCAGTCAATTTGTATTTTATGGTTACCTTTTGTAGAAGATTTTATTTTTCCGAATGCTTGAATGGTGAAGACAGTGAAAAAAACTAAGTTTGCCAATGCGAGTAAAGTCGGGAGAAGTTTCTGTGGTCAAAAAACGATGAAAATGTCTGACTTTTTAGGTTTTTCCGAGGGTTTTTCTGAAATAACTCGCCAACCGCAATACTTAGGTAAAATCATGTTTTATTCAGAATTGTAGAGTATATAAAAGTACCTTTCATTTGATATTTTATTTGGTCCTCTACCGTCTATAGTTTGGGTCTATAGGAGATACATCAATTTAAAGTTTCGTGATTTCTTCAATTTTTGAAAATAATGCAACCTATAAGATGATGCAAAACCTCGAGAAGATATGACGTTTATGAGGTGTTTAGAGTCTAAACTTTTTACACCCCTACTGTCAGCCCTCTAAGTAGGGTTGCCACCCCTTCAATCATTTTACATCGAACGTTGGATCGAGTGACACATCATTGTAAATGGTTCTTAATTTCGTACACACCTCTGGTTTATTTTTCAAATTTGAGCCAGTCGTTTGTAGGATACAGGGTGTCAAATCACAAACAATTCAAATGGATATTCAAGTTCGTATGTGAGTGAACACGTTTATCAGAAATATTTGCTACACAAAACAATCCAGAAGAACATAAACCACGAGAAATCAACACAATGAAATCTCCTAATAACCCTGAAAAATTTAGACTCATAAAGCTGGTTAAAGCTATCCCTATTGTGAACAACTGATGAATTTTGTGTGATATGTCAGATGCCAGTGTTTTAGATTGGGTTTTAACTCGGTTTTTAGCTACTAACGGTAAAATATTGATACGGTTTTATTTCAGTGGATCAGACGTACTTATGTTGCATAGTTTGTTGTATTTACCTAAGCCCTACAGTCAAATGTATCTTCTGAAATAGTCCCTCGAACTTAAAAAGTAAACCATAGGTGAAATTAAGAGCCCTTTCCAGAATGGTGTGTCACCTGTCACCCCACCCAACGTTCAATTTAAAGTTATTGAAGAAGTGGCAACCCTGCTTGGGTTTGACAGCAGAGGTATAAATTTTGAAGTAAAAGATGTCCCCCTTCCAACCAAAATCGACGTGTTTTTGCGTTTTTGTCAAAAGATTATTTTCTTGCTAGTTATTCCGTCTGGTTCGTATTCGTTTGGGCTACCCTGTATAAAAGCTAACTCTGAAAAAAATAGGTGACAAGAAAGAACGTGGCCCACTTATTACTGAATGTGACAAAGAGGTACAGATATTCGTATATTGGCGAGTTATTTTAGAAAAACCTAAAAACCATTGACCATAGAAATTTCTCCCGTCGGCATCGGTCGAATTGGCAAACTTCGTTTTTTCTGTCTTTGCCGTTTAAACAAGTCGGAAAAATAAAATCGTCTACAGGAACTTTTGTAACCATTCAGCATTTTTGAGTCTACTTTGACTGTACTATACTTCTGTTTTTATCAGTTTTTGTCTCGCATTTTCGGTCTAGTTCCGAAGCCTATCTGAAGTAGGTACTAGATTTTCACTAGAAGTCCATAGAGCCCATAGCAATCATAGTGACCCACCATATTCTCATTAACTGTCACTAAAAATGAAAGGAAGCTGAAAAAGACCGTTTCAGGACTAAATATAATAAAAATGTCAAAAAAATCTACTTCGGGATTTCGTAAAGATACAGACGTAAATTGTGCAGTTCACAGTTGAATCGTAAAACTTATACAATATACAGTGTATCTGAAATTTTAGTAGTAGCGAAATAGCATAATCTAAATTATAACGATTTGAAATTAATGTCTGCCAACTAAACAGTCAAAGTATGTTGATCATTAGGGACCGGATTTCTTTGCAGATTATGCATGTACGTAAGCACTAAACATATAATTTCTTTGAAATAGCTTAATATTCCAAAATAATCGACATACAACTCAAAATATAAATACTTTTCTCTTAAGTCTTTAACGCCAGCTGTGTTTTTATCATTTTCAATAGATTAGGCATAATTCTTGTACTTAGCTCAATATCTACCATTTGTTCTATTAATCTCCTGCTACACACATCGAAATCACTGTATTTTGTAACCGCATCTCACGGAAGACGGCCATTTCTTTAATCAATTTGTACCTGCTGTGAATGTGGTGCAACACAAACGACCTATATAAGTTGAATGGATCATGAAATAAGATTCATACGAATATAATTACTGATTAGTGATTAGCATGGCATTTGTGACGACTCTGGTTAAAGTAAAACAACGTTATGGTTGTTGTTTTTCAATTATATATTTTAGTGTACTTTGACATGAAATATGTGCTGTAGAATCAGGATTTTCTGAAATAGGCATACAGTATTTAATATTTCAAAATATGTATTTAGAAGCACTTTCATTAACGCATATTGGCCTCATTAATCCATACAAACGCAGAAACGTAACTATGCAATGTTTGTTGAATGCAATTGCATCCTGGTTTAGCAATAACATGGAGTAATTACTTATACTCTACCTGAGTGAATTGTCAGTTTGTTATTGGAAAGATTTACCTTCAATAGCAAATTATTTGATCTAGTTCAGTATATTTTCAACTGGTTTTTGTTTCAAAGTAACACTGTAATATAATACTTTAAAGTCTAAAGAAATTTTATTAATATGCAAGGAAATGATATGAACAACTTAACTTTCCCCAAAAGATATCTTGTGCTTGTGTAACATTTATAAATTCTGTCAACAGCAATTCATATACCTACTTACTATTAATTAATCCTTATTGCCAGAGCATTGCATATAATTAATAACTGTTTACGAGGCTCTTCGCTAAAGCATTAAAATTTAACGGAGTTTATAAATCTTTAGAAGATATTTCGAATAGAAAGTATATTAACTTTATTAGTAATTAAATTACTTTATCTACTGACAGTTTTAAAACTCTATCAACATTTTGTTACAATGTTCGAAAAAATCGCAAGATACCTACTAATGACACCTCATGTTGCAGGTCAGCGTTTCGCCTTGATCCAGATTAAAATTGGACTTAGTTTGCTACTGAACAATTTTAAACTTACGCTTAATCCAAAGACTCCGTTACCATTAAAACTGGAACCCAAAGGGATCGTAATTACACCTGTAAGTGGTATTTGGGTTGAGTTAAGTAGACTCGATGATAGTTAAAAGTTGGGACAGCTGCGCAAACATTTACATTTTTATATGATTTCAATTCAAGGAAGTTGTTCACTAGAATAATTATAGAAAACAAGATACTTATACTTATACTGTAAGTTGGGTAATTATTTAACACGAATAAACCTTAACAGAAGTGAAATGGAAATTATTATTTATGATGGATGGATATTCGTTGACTACATTTCTGCAAAACAAAGATGTAGATAAGTAAAGACACTCTATCTCTAGTAGCATTTCAAGCAACTAAATGACTTCAAGAAAGTAATAACTGTGGTTTTCCTATATAAATGTGGCCAAGAGAAAAGGTGGACATTAGAGTTAAGGGGCTATGTACCCCAAAACACAGAAACAGGATTTTCACTAATGGAGTAATGTATAATAAACGTTACTTTCTATTAAATCGGTTTATTGTTTAAACCTTAGAATTAATTACATAGTTTAACGGAATGCGATGAATACGATTTAAATAGTTTTTGAAAACGCAGGTTATTCGATACTGCTTTCTGAAGATAAGGCTCTTGTGGCAATTGCTCGCTTTAATGTTGCTATCTGAAAAATTGAAAAGAAAAATCATTCGATAGTAACTACAAATTTTTAAACTTTCCAAGAAGCACAATAATTAATCATCTTCAATAAGGTTATTTTCACGAAGAGATTCATTATGCAAGCTGAGTTTTAACGAAAGCACTTTATACTGAATTAACTTTTGTCTCAACCATTGGCGAATTGTTGCATTTACGTTATTAAGATTAGTCTAAAAGCGTTTACTACAAAAAGTGCTACAACTACTCGCAAAAATACCTCTTCCAGTAAAGATTTTTCCTTGGAAGCGGCACGTTGAAGAAGTACTTTAATTTTATCCAAAAGTTGGGATTTATGGGCCAGTTCCGCTTTAACACGGGACATTTCGTCGGCGAGCGTGTTAACTTCTTTCGAAAGTTCCCTCTGCTCTAGTAGAGTAATTTTCTTATTTGTCGATTTTAGTAGTTCCTCCAGTTTGGATATCTCCTGAATTCTTTCAGCGTATTGTTCCTTTAGGCGATTATAATCGAGACGCAGTTTTTCGTAACCCTAAAATCAATATACGAATCTCATTCGCCAATTAAATACAATACTGACTTTCTTTTAGCGGTACGGGAGTTGATCACACAAAGAGTTGTACGCGTTCAACGTGTGTTAAAATGTGGATTACTTTAAAAGCATGGTTATCGAAGCCACGTAGGTACTCAAGACTTCCAAAATTTGCTTTTCTTCTTTAATCATTTTTCAGTAATTATAACACAAAGTATGAAGTATGAAAGTATGAAACTAACAACTTGGCGTGTTTTTGATTCTCTTACCCCAATATGGTATGCTCCTTAATGGGGGTGCGGATTTTTTTACCCGAAAATAACGATTTCAGAATTAGTTTTCAAATATTTCACATGTATTTTCATGTTCACATAGCTAGTTTTGAACATGAGAATTTGTTCGTGCCCCTATTTATGCGTGCGCCAGCTTGGGTTAAAAATAGTGAAAAAAATGCTACCACGAAAAGAACAATTAAAAAAGTCGTTACTTTTTTAATTGTTTTTTCGTAGTCGAAATCGGGGAAAAATGATTAAATCAGCTGAATTTTTACGCGGACGAAATCGGGTGTTGAAAGGGGTGTAAAGTGGTATTTTGCAATTGGCGGCAAAACTACTCGTATTAATTTTAGGCGAACATGTTCGAAGTAAAAGTTGTAGGGAATAAAAAGGTGAACAATTTATGTATCTATACATTTTTCTCACTTAATTTCAAATTTTCCGGGAAAAACCGGAAAAACTTTTTTTTTGTTTTCCATCTGTATGTTTGCAAAAAAAATGTCGTAGAGGTCTGAAACTTGGAAAAAACTTTTTTTATACGTACGTCAAATGTGACATTTCGCTGATCATATTCAAACAGCGAAGTATCGTTTTGTTGTTAGGAGCAGAGAAGCGGAAAACAGGCAGAGAAGTCAAATTTCTCTGCCTTCTTTCCACTTTTCTATGCCTGTGTTGACTAGCGGTTTATATACAAAAATTTCCAGCATACTAATAAACAAAAATTTAGTGTTTACCACGGACGAGTGAAATCCGCTGACACGTCGGAGATATTTTGTGCATTTGACCTTCTCAATGCGCCAGATTGAACTTCGCGCCCTTGTTATATAATAGTTATTTGTATAACTAGAGAAGAAAGTGGAGTTTTTCAACTCGAGTTCAAAGTTTGACACATTAGCGCAGTGAGTGTGCCCAGTGCCAATTGAACGAGAGTTGAAAAACTCCACTTTCTTCTGCACGGGGTAGCAAAATTTTGGTAAAGAAGTTTGATATTTTTGCATTTTAATAGGTAATCTTAAAATTAAAAAAATTTATTCCGATAGAAAAATTTCGACAAAATCGCAAAAAAACTGAAAAAAAACAGTTTTACGATATATACATGTTTTTTGACATGATAAAAAAACGTGTTGCCTCCGTGTTAATAAAGATTTTTCGAAATCTGTCTTCTTTCTTCTCTCTAATGTTGCCAAAATAGCTTCTTTTGTTCCTTATGCTCAAGTACCTTAATTAACACAACTTTATTATTTCTTTTTTTTGCAGTTTTACCGCAAGAAAAGCAATTGGCAGTAAACTCTAATTCTTTTGCTTCCTGAACAATTTGTTTCCTTCACTGACAGACATGATCTTCCTGCATGTTTTACAGTTGATCCGATACGGTGGGCCTGTTGAACGTAGCTTTGTAGGAATTATGAATAAAAGCCTCATGAAATTTCTTCCAGGTTTTATATTCTCAATGAACAACTTTTGTATTAAAATTTTTTTCACAACCTCAAATTTTTGGAAAAAAAGAAACACTTTTTTGTCGAAAAATTTGAGGTTATGTGAAAAAAAGTTTAAATATAAAAGGTGTTTGTTTATTCCCTACAACTGTTACTTCGAAGATTTTCGCGTAAAATTAATAGTTTTGCCACAAATTGAAAAATACCAGCTCTTTCAACTCCTGGGATTTCGCCCGGGTTTTAATTCTTTTTCCACACTTTTTACTCATTTCACCTGCATGAACAAATCGGTTTGGATCAAGAACTAGTTTTTTTTTTAATAAATTATATTAAAAATTATTTAGCTTGGACTAATACAATCTACTATCATTATATACTCACCATGCGATCTGACGTATTGCAAATTTTTCCAGAACTCCCTAATCTCTTATTTTCCGCTTGAAGTTTTTCCACAACCCGCTTCAGTACAAATACAGTCCTCTCTAGTTCCGAGATTTTTTTATCGCTTTTCTGTGCATGGTCTCCCGAATCTGATACAACATGTTTACCTTCATTCTCCGCTTTCAAAACTTCTATGTAACTAAAATAATATTCAAGTTTTCAATACAAGTAAAATGCACCCAGATACCTTTCCAAGTGTTGGATCTGCTCGCGTAAATGAGGTGTATCGTTCGCGTACTTTTCCAAATCTAACTTCAGCTCCAGGTTCTCAGATTCCAAACGCAAATTTAATTTTTGCAGATTTTCATTGATGGTATGTAAGCGTTCTATCTCTGCGCGAATTTCAACGTTGCCCTAAAAGCTCCTCGTTAAGGCCCGTATTCATATAGCGAACGAATTCGGCCGAATAGATTTGTTCGGCTAATGTGCACGTACAACCAATCACAAGCCAACGAACATGTTTGCATTGAAGACTTTGTTACGCATATTTTCTAGTGTCTACGGCTTCCCAATGGCAATGGCTATACATATAATGCGCATACACCCTCGAAAATAAACGAATGCTTGAGAAAGCAGTCATTCGGAGGTATGCCGAATTAGTTCCCTATATGAATACGGTCCTTTACACCACTACTAGAAGATTAACATAAAGTTGTACCTTATTGGTCACTTCTAGAATAGCAATCTTCTTCTCTTGAGCTTGCAACTTCTCTTCCAGCATGGCGGCCCCGAGACCACCGGAATGCAAATGCTGCATTTGTAATCTTGACGATAAATTTTCGTTCTCTAATACGAGTCTGTCATTTTCCAAGTGTAGCATCTCGACGCGTTTGGAAATTACATCGTGGCTGGTATGCCGCAAACCCTTAACTCGGCTCTCGAGGGTATGCTTTTCTCTTTCCAATCTTTCAATCAAGATCTTGTAACCCGCACATGTCTGGTTTAACTTGTTATAGTCTTCGCATTTTTCTTGCAGTTTCGATTTTAGTTTTTCGGCGGCCTGTTGCCAATATTTTTGTTTTTTCCACTTTTCAAAGTCTTCGGTAACTGTAATTTTATGAGCGCCATTAATTACAAGTTGTTTTTCCAATTTGTCACGTGTGTCCTCCAACTCAGTTTCCAAAGTCTTGATTCTCTTTTGTAGACGTTCTTCTTTGTCACTTCTATCGCTTCTTGCAGATAAAGGCCTACACAAACAATAATTTACAATTAAATCATGCAAGTTTAGAATTGCGTAGCAAGACGTTCTGTGGAAATAAAGCACAAATCTACAGGTTGCAAAAGAAACCACGATTTGTTTTCAGTTATATTTCTAAATAAAGAAGACATTAATTGAGAAATCTCACTTTTTCAATATCTGTTCCTTCAGATTACGCAATTCCTCCTTTGCCTGCCTTTCTCGACTGATCACTTGTTCATACTTTCTCTTCATAAGTTCATATTCTTTCATCAACTGTTCATTAACAGACTCCAGTTCTGATACTTTTGGTGATGCCAATTCTGCCCTTTCAAATTCCTTTCGCTCGCTCTGTAATATTTTTTCTTTTCAGTTAGAATAAATCAATATTATTTACCTTTAACCGCTTAACGGCAGAATTCAATTCACGAATCTTTTCGTCCTTTTCTTTTACAGTGTTACTGTCAGGTTCAAATAAATGTAGTTCGTGACGATGCTTACTAATCAGCTCTTTCAGAGTAAAAATTTCAGAACGCCATTTTTCTGAATCTTTCTTATACACCATGATTTCGTTTCTGTGCTGCTCTTCTAGACTAAAACATAAATTATGATCAGTGACCTCTGTAACTACAGTATTTATTTGCGATTTTTCCCGTTGAATTATGGGGAAAAAAAATTTCAAAGCTTAAATAACCGAGCTTAGAAAAACGGTTTAAATAAATTCAGGGCGGCCTCGTGGTCCAGAAATTTTTTTGAAAAATGTGCATTAGCTATCAAAGTGGAAAAAGTACGGTGCGTCAAGTGACTAACGGGCACGTAAAAAAATCCAAAAGTGGCAGTGGAATGGTTTAAAAAGCGAGTGGTCGTTCCGATCAGTACTCATCACCATCGAGCGTATAAGTTGTAATCACAATTTAGCTAAAGAGTGCCAGTTCACCAAAAATTAAAGTGTAAGGTTGTAAAACTATGCCAAGGGATATGTGGTAGTGCAAAAAGCTCCAAAATGTGCAGTATCCATTCAATCCAAAGACCCCGTTCGCTATTATAAATAAACGTGGTCGTAAGCGAATTCGTTGGGAAACTTTACCTCGTATTTGTGCAGTATAAAGTAAAAAGGATGTCAAATTCAACAGAGTTGCAACAAAGAAAAGTTTTTGTAAAATCAAATAAAAATAAAATTCATTAGTGCCGCTAACGCAGAAGGTGGTTTGGTGTAAAAACTTATGCGTATGCAAAATGCACTTTTTGGACCAAATTCCACTGACCAGCCAACGAATCAACATCGAGAGCAGATCTGTATTGTCCAATCAATCTTCAAAGTCCCATTCAAAGAATAGTCGCCGAAAGATTGTTCCATGCGGTAGGGTTTAAGTATGCAGTTATTTTGAAAACATCTGATATCCACCCCAATTTGATCAGTAAAAAAGTTATCAGTAAGAATTCCAGATCATCCACGTCGAAGAAAAATTGTAAACAAAGGTTAGTCGTACTCATGTATTTTGTCAAATTTGCTCGATAACTTTAAGATCCATTGTCAAAGATAAATATTGATCTGTTGTATATTTAGTAGCAAAATTTGAAACAAGGGATCTTAAAGAATTTGGAAAAGTGTAAAACTTAAAGAAAACGAAGGTAAGACCCGAGAAGTTAAAATGACTCATCTAATGTTAAGTTAACCGCCATAAATTGTCGATACAATTGGTTACATACATGAATCTTTAATAATCCAGAGAAAGAACGTCCTACGCCTTTGACCAAAATGACACAAATCAAGATAGTGACTGGAAACAAACTCAAACAACAGGATGTGGAAAAGGAGTATATCAATTTTGAAAAAGTTTCAAGGCCAAGCAACAAAAAACCTCTTGGACGTGCATTTCAAAACCGAATTTAAAACTACTAACAATCCGAAAGAAGAAACCGATACTATAACGGGTTTTGGTCTTGGAACAAGCCAGGTTACGGGGCTCTTACTTGCACTCAAAAACTTACTTTGTTCTCAGTTGATCAATACTTTCCAAACGTTCATTTGCCAACTCTTGCCATCTAACAGCTTCTTGTCGACAGGCTTGTAGTTGCGAAGTTAGTGTTGAAACGTCTGTATGTAAAGCGGCAGTGTGATGTTCAAGGGCGTGTACTTGGTTAATATATTGTTCAATCGCCGCTTTGCCTGGGTGTTGGATTGATGTCTCTTGTAATCTGTAATCAATATGTCACTAGTCAATTTATTTGAAATGAAATAGTTAACTCTTTGTACGCTTTTTCTTGACCAGAGATGATATCCTGTAGTCGTTTCAGCTCCTGTTGCGACCGCGCGGCAGCCAAACTGTGCTCGTCCCTATCACGCTTTAAAAGCGTTTGGTATTTCAACACTACCTCGTCCTTCTGCGAGTTATCGTCTTGAAGTTGCTTCAAGGAGTTCTACAAAAGAAATTAGCATAGCATAGCAGAACTATTCTGACACAATAGAATACCTTTAAAGATACAACCTCTTCGGCCACATGAGATTGCTCGACAGTATTGACCTTAGTACCCTCAGACTCGGTCTTCTTCAATTTATTCTGCAACTCTAAAATGTGCTTTTCATAAAAAGTTATTTGACTTTGCTTATCTCCAATTTGGGTTCTAAATAAACTGATGTTCATCTCCAGCTCAGTAATTTTACTTTTCAGTTGATCTATGGTGGCGCATTTTTCGCTGATTACATTGTCAGAGGCGTTTAATTTTTTTTCTAACTCAACTATTAACGCATTAAATTCCTTGTCGCCAGAGAATGCTGCAAGTAATTCAGATGAGGTTTGAACCTCTTGTTGTTTAAGCACTTTTGGCTCGCTGTGAGTCAAAATTGGAACTTCATGGAAAGGGGATGTTGCTGTACACTTATCCTCCCTTTTCACTTCATTTGAAAGGAAATTTTCAGAATACAGGGAGCGCACTAGTGCTTCTTCTAAGCTAATTATTACGCCGTCTTGGTTTTTCAATCGCTCTGTTAACTGTTCCACCTGCAAGTTATTTAACTCTATCTGCTTGCGGTATCGCAATTCCTGCAACAAACATATTCTACTAAATAAACAGCAGAAACAGCTGGAAGTCATTCACATTTAAACTGGTTAACAATCGATACAGCTAAGTACTCGTTTCATTACCTTAATCAATATAGAATTTCGTTCTTGATACCAGTTTTGAATTTGATTCATTGCATCGCCGGAACTTTGCACATGTTTTATTTTTAACTCATCCACCAACTCAATTTTTTTCTTCAATTCATCATTCAAGAGCTCACATTCATGTTTTTGTCTACTAATGCATTGTAATTGTTCATAAGTTTTTTGTTTGTCATTCATTATTTCTCGAAGTTGACTTATAAATGCCTCTTTCGAAACTAACGGAAGACTTCCCAAATACTGTTGTCTTTGGAGATATATAATAGTTTCTAAATTACTGCAACCAACAGAAATATTATTAATTAATTAATTAAATAAAATGAATAATACCTTATTTTGCGGTCATATTTGGCACGCAAATTTTCCCTTTCCAATTTTTCCTGCTGTAGAATACTTTGACACATATCATAGTTGCTCTGGCATTCCAGTAGCTCATTGTCCAGTTCTTGTAGTTTCTTATGACACTCTGTCTCCGACAGCCTCGCGAGGACAACATCGGAACTTAACCGTGCAATTAACGCCTTTTCGTCACTGTTAGATTGCAAATCCAAAAGTTGATGCTTTAAATTTAGAAGCTCCATAGTTTCAATTGCCCGCTCGTTGGTATGTGCCTGCGCAGATTTGTGCAAAGCCTTCAGTTCAGACTTCAGATTCTCATTTTCGGTTTGTAACCGCCGTAAATCTCGTTCGATTGTTACCTTTTTCTGTTCCAACTCCGTGAGGGTTTGCAAATCAACGTAAGTTATGAGGTTGTTCTCCAAAGTAACGAGATTTTCTTGAAGTGCCAGATTATTTCGGACCAGTTCTTCTCGATGCTTTTCATGTTCTTGGATGCGTTCATCTGATTTTTGTAACTGTTCTTTGACCAATCCGTATAGACTCGTCATGTGGTTTGCTCTTTGTCGTTCTTCTATTTCGTTAATTTCAACCTGTGCCAGTTTAGCGGAAAGCGTTTGCAAATCATTCGACACAGAAATCGACTCTTGAATGTGTGCACTAATTGACGTTTTAAGCAACTGGGCTTGCAACTCCACGTTGTGCTTTTCGAGATGCTTAATGGATTCATTCAGGAAAATAGTGTTTTGATCACCCTTACGTTTAATGATCTCGACATTTTCTAAGGAAGCTCTGTATTTAATTGTTAGGTTATCAAAATTTGTTTGTAAGTTATTCAAAATTTGGCGATCTACCCTTCCATCAATAGAAGTATCTAATATGTCCAACTTTGCGTTTAAATCATTTTTTTCTTTGGTTAACTTCGATATAACATTTGTTGAAACAAGTTCTGCATTAGCAAGGTTGGCCTTTAACTCTTTATTTTCCGACGAAAGTCTAGTTTCTTCATTCTCTAAAAACACGCATTTTCTGTTCAGCTTTACCATATTTGCTGATATTTCTGCGAATCGTTTGACCTTTTCATACTCGTCCTCTTGCATATTAGAAAACTCTTGCAATTTTGCTTCTAGCACCGCGACGTTTTCTTCAAGCTCTCTTATGGTGTGACCATAACTTGTTTCCTTGCCTTCCCATACCTTCTTTTCTGACATAAACTGGTCGTATAGCAATTTTACCTGTTGTTCGCTTATTTCAAACCTTTCTTTGTATTCGTCAAGTTTTTCAGTCAACTTTTCAGACATTTCTGCTTGCTCATGGTAACCCTATAAGTGAAATAGATTTATTCCTACAAAGCACTAGCTGTTACACGTACGCCCAATGCATTTAGTAAATGATTATTCAGATTGGATACCATTTCTTTAGCTGACGACGACATGTTTGATGGCAATTCTTGCACCACTACTGCATTTCGGTCACTGTCAATTATTTGATGTTTGGTGCTGAGCTCTAGTCTACAGTATAACGCATGTACCTATATCTGTGTGCAAAGTGCGCTAATCTTACCTCGTAGCTTTGAGTTGTTCTCTCAATTCCTTGTTTACTCCTTTCATTGTGTGAAGCTCTGCTTGTAATCGCATTGCCGGATGATACCAACCTGATATATGTCTTGTATCTAAGGTACAAAGTAATTTTTCCAAAGTTCTAGATTTTATCTCATTCTGACTAGAGTCTAGATTTACGCTTAAGGATGAATTCACACAAAAGTACCAAATACTTACCATTTCTTGCTTGGATACTTTCCAATATTTCATGAAGACCTTTCCTAAGACCTTCATTTTCTTCGAGTAACTCTACGTATTCTTGTTTACCTTCAACGCTGTGATTATCCAAGTCCAGCTTTACATTGTGAGCATTTGAGTTTGTTGCGTCTTCTACATTGGAGATCATTTCATTGGAATGAAGTAACTTTAATGAAAGAGTGGAAACTTTGCGATTTAACTGTTGTATTTCGGATTTTAAGTTTAATTTATCTTCTTCCAACTCCGTAAGCTGTTTCTCTAATTTATCAACACTTCTGGATTGCTTGTGTTGCTTTAGTAGTACACCTGCTATACTGACTTCTTCATCCTCTGGTACACCCAGCTTGTTTCTATTAAAATTATAAGTTTGATGATAATTTTTATAGTACTAAAGCTAAATGTGTAAGACTAACGATATTAGGAAAAAGTTTAGGATATTGCGAAATGAGTTTGTGTAATCGTCATACGCCCCGAATTTAAATTATGTCGATTTCAAATTTCATTATATTAGCAAGTAAAAATAAAAACCAATTTCACTTGAGCCGCTGCTTTCTCTCTTGAATTTTAATCGCTTACCGCAAGGCACTATTTTCATTCGCAATACAATCAATGGAGGTTTGTAGTTTGTTCATAATCTTTACGTAATCCGTAATTTGTTTATCTTGTGCTCTAACTTTAGACTTGAGGTTTTGAACCTCTTCTAATCCCTTCGACAGTTCAATTTGGCCGTCCTGTTTGAGTTTATCCAAAATCTCGTTAATCTACAAAGCAATCCCTTATCCTCTTAATTAATTAAATTATTTCTTACCTACGTCTTTTTGTTTATTTTCGACAAGCTGATCTGCATACTTAATGTTGTCCTGCAATTCTTGGCAGCGTTCATGGGCTGCTTTTAGTTGATTTTTCAAATTCTTGATAATTGAGCTAGATTCATCAATGCGTCGAATGCAAGCGTTCTTTTCTGAAGTTATTTGATTAATTAACTTAGTACTCTTGTCCATCTCCTTCGTAGCTTCTTGCAATCGGATTCGTAACTCTGTTAACTGATCATCTCGTTCACTAATGGCCTTGTTTAGTACGCCGACGTAAGCCTTGTCTTCACTGCCGTGATCTGGTATACTCATTTTGGACGAGTACACACTAGTTTGCCTTACTTCATATTTTAACCTCTTCAATTCCTTGTCTTTTTCCTGGAGTAGTGTCTAAAATGTATGCACACTGAGAGTTATGTACAAGAGACCATCGACAGTTTTACTTTCCACTCGTCAGCACGTTTGTCGATTGCTAAAGTAAATTCGTCAATTTCTTGATCTCTCTGTTGCTTCTCTTCGATGAAATCTTGAATCTGAGTTTGAAACGCTTCAATCTCCATTCTTAGATGATTGTTAGTGTCTGCAACATGCACCATGTAATGCAAAAATTGTGTCTAACTGTCTACCTAATTTATCATTAAATTCAACTTTCAACGCAGAGTAATCTTTGGTCATGGTTGACAGCTGTTTGGACGCATCCAAAAGTTCGTCTTTCAGTTTAGAAATCATTTCCTGTAACACGATGTTTTCTTTCTCAATAATCTGCAACCCCTTCTTTAATGAGTATATAGTCTTCTACAAAGTACTAACCTGAATGTCGTCGAGTAATTGCGATATTTGTTTATTTTTGAGCTGTACGGTTTGCACTAATTCCTTATATTGGTCGGTGGTCGCTTCTGACATATCCGAACGACTTTCGTCTCCCTGACTTAAAATAGATTGAATCTCCGATTTAAGGTGAGTATTTTCTTCCTCGACAGCTGCTAAATTTCGTTTGCACTACATGTGAAAATAGAATTATAGTGAAAATCAGATGCAAAGTATATTGTAACCTTTTCGAATTCAGACCTCAAGTTTTCGTTAACTTTTAATTGTTGCTTTAATTTCTGTTTGAGTTCTTTGTATTTTCGTTCCAGTTCTGCAATTAAAAGACGCATTCTGTTTATATGAGCAAAGTGTAACGAGAACAAGAGCCCTTTAGTGGTGTTTATTTAGTTTGATTGGCGGAAGCTATTAGCAACCATTTTGGGGCGTATTTTCTTGGAGTTGAAGATAGTAGGAATGTCAGTCGTGAGATATACGTCGTGTGAATAAAAAAATGTAATTAAATCGTCCGCCGACCAAAAGTACAGCTGGGAAATAGTTTTTCATTAAACAGAGAGTGATGTCGACGGATGTTTTTCTATATATGTTTTTCCATAGTGTCGCAGAGTTCAATGGTTGTTGAGCTCGAGGGTGTCAAAAGTTTAAAAGAGCCATGATCGCTTGATAAAATTTAAGAAGTTTTGAAATGTATTGAATTCAACTATTTATTTTATTTTTTTGAATTTGCATTTTAAACGAGAAAAGAAACTCTAAGTAATTTTAAGATTTTCTTGTTTTATTTTTCGAATGCCTGTGCGCGCGATAATTTGTCAAAACAAACTTTGTAAGCTTTTCTTTCATTCAGAAATTATGTTTTAATTTTTTATTTCAAGTGTTTCTGAATAAATTTTTGTCATTATCAAGCAAGTAATTGTTCGAATCCTTTGTGCGACTCGAATAGGGTTTTCCTGTCAGATTTTTCTTCTCGTGTTCAAGAATTATGTCAGGTGTTTGTGTAGTTAGTTCTTTGGAATTTTCGGAAGTTGATCGAGGCTACTAAGCCTACCAAATCATTAATTTAGGTTTTTCTTTGTAGCAGATGCCGGAAGTATACGAAGAGCAATTACAAAAACATTTTAATGAACTTTATATTTAATAATTTTGGATTGGCTTGTTTACTTGTTACATTGTTTAATAAAATCAACTACTTGGCCAGTAGGAATTTTTATGAGTTTAGCTAGGAATTTTGTCACTTTGTAGTGATTGTAAAACCTTGTTTCATTGTTTAATCATAATAAATGTATTCAGTTTGAAATAATTTCTTGAAATTTTCATCACATTTAGAATTCTTTTTTATCTGTGCTAGCTTGGGAAGTAAAGTATGGGAGGTGGGTCCAAACGTAGTAGCAACGAAGAGAAGTAGAAAAATTTCACAAGAAGAATCACAATCCCAAAGTTCTCTATTAACAATTTTACTTCCGTTACACTCATTCGCTCTCAAATATGAGTACATTAGAAGTGTACAAATGTACGTTTCCTACAGTGTAGACATAGAGATAAACCAATAGATCTCTTTTTTGATATTGCCAGCAAAAATAAACAGATGGATCTTTGATTGCTGCTTCTGTATTTAAAAATGTATGTAAGTTCATTAGAAAAGCTATATCGCATAGGCCTAAAGGGTAGTGTAGAACCAGTACTGCACATTGTTAGAAAAATTATGTTTCCTATTAGAAATAATTACAATAAATAAGGGTAAATCATTGAAAACGGTTACAAGAGTACTGAGTGTGTAAATGCTATGTTATTAGACAACCCAATGATAGTTTATACGTCCATTAAATCTTAATAAATTAATTAAAGGACATTACTTGCAGATCCTACTGTTACATGTTAACTGCAAAATTAGCAGGTCCTTAGTATTATCAAACAGTAAGGGTACTCTTTGGTATTATCACGTCTGTGGTATTATTTAGCACATTTGGTGCTACAAATAGTTATTACAAATTCAGTTAGACAAAAACAGAAAATTACCCATTACCCAATCGTTACTAAGTAGTAATTTTTTAGGAACAGTTTTGAAATTATGTGCGTATGTGAAGTAGCGACGGGTAATGCTTACTTTTTCGTCACTTACCGTCATTAGTGTCAAACGACATTTGAGACCTTTTTGATTTTAAACTAGGCACATCTTCTAATGATTCTTGCTTCTTTGCCTCTTCTTCGCCCTGCCGAACAGCTAATTCATCTAACTCGGCGAGCAATGCTTCAACCTGCAAAATATCCCCAATATCTTAGACGAAGAATATGAAACAACCCTCATACCTGTTCAGATTTATGTTTCATTAGCTCTTGGCTAATTTTAAACAACGCATCGTATTTAGTGTAATCAAGTTTTTCACTTTGACAGTCAAACCATGCGATTTTCGTATATAAATTTTCCTTTTCATCTTCATCGAGATTATCGGGTGATATAGACAGGATATATTTCCAATCCATTGGGCAGAAATGATAAATAAACGAAGAAATGTTAAGTTGCACGTCAAATCAACTGAAATATACGAGACAAATAGGCTAAATCGATATGTTTGTATAAAGTGTACGCGGTTTCCACAGTAACTCTATATGACTAACTTAGGGTGAGTGATTCTCAATTACAACAAATGAGACATTCATGTGGGGACTTCTGGAGGGACCGCAATTTGTAATTAATAAACGTATAATTAACAAAAGATTTTGTTCGTGGAATTTTTACAACTTTAACATACGCACTGCATTTTATACGTAGCTAAAATCCAAAGTCCTTACAGTTGAAACAAAAATTTTAATCCGAGCTCTTGGCCAAAAACTGAATACCTCATTCAATCAATGTTTGCTAGTGCGACACGACATTAAAGTTTCAAATACAATACGATTCTCTGTGGCCCCATTTACACTATTGTCTACAATATACCTAACCGAGAAGGTTATTTATAATAAAAACCACTAAAAACGTAATAATCAGTTGCAATTTTGGAAAACCTGGTACAGACAAATTTTGTTGATAAAAATGCATAAAATGTAAACATTTTATACGCTAATGAACTAGTAAATGAGACATTCAGTTCGGATGTCAGAAGATAAAAAGCAGGGTAAAAAGTTTATTGTTCCAATAGTTAACATCCATCCGGAGCCGGCTCAAGGTAAACGTTATGTGTAAGCAACCACTAAAGTTTGCTCTCCTGTGAACCTTGTGAAGGGTTGCAGATTTTCACGGGTTCGTTGTGCAAATTCTTCTTATAAATTTCTTCGTCTTGTTATGTTGAAGTAGTTTTCGCACTTACCTTTCGGTACTTTACTTCCAGCTAGGTTCGGTAAAAAATGATATAAAATTAGGAAATAATTCAGTTCATCCAGCTTTCACTGATACATATCTCATTAATTTTCAATAAATTGTAATCAAAATTTGAAAAAGTAGTGGATTAGAATTTTACACTCCAATATGTTTTGGAGAGTTTATGTAATGCAAGCCTCTCTTTGAAAGAAATATCTCTTTTTACTCCTTCTTGCAGTACAGTAATAATTCCAAAGCTATTTAAAAACATTTATGGGCTATGTCACCCGTTTTAGCTAGCTGACTCTTTTAACTCACATGCAATTATGCAAATGTAGATAATGAAACATTAGGTGCCTTTATCAATGCTTCAACCGGGGTCGCGGACAGGTAAGCGGTTGTCGTCTCCGATTCAAATTTCCTCCGTTTTTGTTCTCTGGAGGATTTTGCGTAGTGGTTTGGCATTGTGGGTGATCTATACTGCTGTCCCCCAATTTTGACCAATATTTAACGCTGGCCGGTGCAAAATAACCGCGGGCTGGTTATTACAAGTGTATTCTGTTTTACAACAAGTAAAAACATTGTCACTCTAAGACGAGTAACTTCATCCCATTTTCCATGTATTGATCAGTATACTTCCCAAAAGGCAATAGCTATGTGCGCTATGTTTTTTTTGCTAGAGGCATCTATGGTTTAATTTCAAAGAAATATCTCCATAAATAAGAAAATTGACGTTGCGCACTTCGCGCATGCGCACATTTAATGTTTACAATATAAGATATGTTTGCTTTAAACAGAAGCATCTGTGATTAAAATTTCAAAATGATATCTCGATAAATAAGATAGTTGATATTGTGCAGCCTGCACATGCCTACATTAATCAGCAAGATTTTTCTTGCCTCAGATGCCAGAGCTATAGCTACCGAATTCAATTCATTAATTTTATCAATCATTAATTCATTAACGATGTACCCGCCGCACCGTCCAAAAATGTATTGATAAATAGTCGACACTGAAAATCTTTGCGGTATGAATCGCTACCTTACAAATTACAATAGAAAAAGAAGCTACCTAAAGAAAGCATTGTCATTTATGTTCAATTTGCAACATACAAGTAAAATCAAGAATGATGAAATTCAACGATGGAGACTGGAGATGTCTTGCTGTATAGCTTTGATATCTCATATCGGCGTGATTCTCCCAATAAAGTAACTGACGCTTTATGGAGAATTTTTGGAGTAACTTTTGAAGTAAATAACGACGAATTGTATAATTTACACAAATCCCTGTGTCATCCCAGGCGAGTTACTAGAATGTATAACTGTATCAGTATCACTGAATCAAATCAAAGAATCTACCTTTCTCTAGAACGTATTAAACGAATCACTTCTGGATGCCCCGTTTACTAAACGTGAACAAAGGTGATTTATTTATTTCAAAAAACTCTGCTGTTAGTAAACAACAATGATTTCGTTCCACAATATCTGAATTCTGAGTGAAGATGCAGAACCAATATTCCTGTGAAAGGTGAATGCTTTAGCTCGAGAACACCGCCGGGATTTCTTAAAATATGTTGAAATAATCTTTTTTTAGGGGTAACGTCGAGGGCTGAGGGTGCCATATTTTGCAAAAGAAAAAAGGGAACAAATTTTCCTGGCGTTATTGCCTAGATAGTAGATACTCGTCTAGATATTAACTTTACGAACTTATTCCAATTTTGGAAATTGTTCCAACTTAATTTATAAGTTATCTTGGAAAAACGACTTAAAAGTTTACATTGAGGCGACAACTCATTACTTGAAAGGGAAAACAAAAGAAACTACCTGGCATTATCCTGCACATTGTTACGCCGTTCCTAATGATATGGATTAGATAAATTACTATATAATTAGCTAATGTTCATGAATTCTGTTGATTTGTGAATCATAATGGGCCGTATGAATAAAAGTAAGCAAATGCTTATACTTGCAAAATTCAAAGTAGGTAAATACTCGTAAGTGCTCCTTCGCAGCGGGCGACTTAGCAGCGCTTCTAAGCAGAAGGACAGGACGCAGTGCAGCGCTGCTAAACCATGCTAAACAGACCAGTATGAAGGGACAGTTACGAGTATTTACTTTGAATTTTGCAAGTATAAGCATTTGCTTACTTTTATTCATACGGGCCAATGTCACATATTCCCAAGACGAAAAGTGCACTAAATGCATATCTATTGTAGGTACATTGGAAATAATTTTTGATTTCTAAAACCTTTTTCATTGTAACAGGATGCTTCAAGAAATTTGTTTAGGAAGGTATCAAATAGTAGTCCAATTTTTAGCTAAACCCCTAGGCGGAATACGACTGTACCATGCAGTAATTAGAAGGATTTTTGCCGCAAATTTGTTCTTGTGTAAAAATGTGGCACCGTTTTGATTTTTTTGACGAACGCATGACCACCACACAAGCGGGAAGCACAATATCGCAATTCGTAAACACTATTATTGAGTATAAAAATAAAAATAAAGGAACCACAAATTTCGATTTTTACAAATAAATTAGAATATTATATTAGAAATAGAATATAAATAAGTATAACGTTAAATGTACAATTATTATTTTTTGAAAAGATAAGAATTTATTTAGAAATTTTCATAAAAAAAATACATTTTATGTTGTTGTTCACCCTTATAATATATAAGAAAATAAAGAGAATTCATTCATGCACATGTCTACCTAATAACTATAAAAATCTATAAATCAGTAAAATTGATTAGAACAAATCACAGGCAATAGAGGAGTAATTAAAAATGTTAACAAACAATACTAATCTAGTCCACTAATGACCTGAGAACCAGGTAATTTATAGCATTGAATAATTAATTTACTCAATGGTAAAAGAAATAAGCATTTGCGCATCTCCAGTCAAATATTGTACAGCTTTTCGATAAACTTGTTTACATAATTAGGCCTTGATCATTATACATGGTCTACTGTGTTTAACAATAAATGAAGAGAATATGCAAGACTGGGAAGGATAGAGATACATCGTTGGTCTCAGTCAAAGAGTACACCGTCTAGAAATGTGTATTGTTGGTGGTCTAAAGCGCGGTTTAGACGCTACGGTCTTGGCTTCGATAAATCGTAACGATCTGATTGTCCAATTTATCGTTCAATAAATCGAAAAAGTGCGTACTGTTTACATGTAACGATTTCTTGTTCCAATCTCATTGTCGATCAGGTTTAATACAGTTTTTATTTTTTTACTTTTCAACTTGTCTTTTGGTTTTGTCCACTAATATAAATTATACTCTCATTTTATTGCTTACATTGCTTGCTTACAATAGAATCTTAATCTCGATTATGATTTATGATTAGCCATGTGTCGCTAAATATTTTTTTTGGGTGCCCAAACTTGATCGCCACTCGCCAAATATAAAACGTGTGCGCTAGAGACAGTCCAAGTAGCCCAAATGGATACAAAAATGGTTCACGTCGGCAACATTAGTCACAAATCGTAGCGATAAATCGCTGTTATTGTTTACACGTCCCAATTTATCGCTACAATTCGCAGAAATTGAAGCCGGCCACCATCAACCATCCAATTAATCCAATTCCAATAAATCGCTACAATCCTCTGTTCACACGCAACGATAAATCGTAACGATTCGATCGTAACGATAATTTTCACAATTTATCGTAGCGTCTAAACCGCGCTTAAGACTTATTTCTCTGAAGAGAACTAATAAAAATTCTCCCTGTATGTATTAGGTTCTGCAATAAAAACCAGACCTGGCAACATTGCGTTCTTGTAGAGACATAAATAAACCACTTATTTATGTAGATTTATAGGTTATAGGTTAATAGAATCTCGGAGAAATAATAGAATAAAAAAATGAACGGGTGATAAAGCATAGATATAATATTTGACTTTGCCCCTTGATTAGAAAACAAAGAAACCTACCTTGAGTTAGGGTTTCTATGATAGAAAATTAAAACTCGTTTCCAGTAATGCATTGTCTGGCTGCATTTAAGAAAACACCCAGCAAAATATTGGCTAGAATGATGAATACTGTAAATTCTATGAAACCACCTGTAGTGGTAGAACAATTAGGTGCCGTTACAACGATCGGAATCAATCGGCCCGAGAAACGCAATTGTGTTAACGTACAAACAGCTCAATTACTAAAGGATGCTATCGTCAATTTTGAAAATGATAAGGAATCCTTGGTCGCAGTTCTGTACGGTGTGGGTGGAAATTTTTGTGCCGGTTATGATCTTGCAGAGCTTGCCGGCGGCGGATCATCTTGCTTCACACACACTGACTCAAAGGAATCCGGTTGTATGGTACAAATGGATATTGTGGGTTTCAGTAAATATTTGGTTTTCTAGACATGGGACCAACTCATAGATTTGTTAAGAAGCCGTTAATAGCCGCAGTTAGCGGATATGCAGTTGCAGGAGGCATGGAATTGGCCCTTATGTGCGATTTAAGAGTTATAGAAGAAACTGCAATTATGGGCGTTTACTGTAGACGATTTGGTAATAATCTTATGCAGTTGTATTGAGATTCTGATTTATTTGTTACAGGTGTTCCTCTCATAGATGGTGGAACTGTTCGTCTAACTGCAATGGTGGGACTGTCCAGAGCATTGGACTTAATATTAACTGGGCGGTCTATAGAAGCAAAAGAAGCTTTCGATTGGGGTTTAGCTAATCGAATAGTTGCATGTGGAACAAGTAAGTGCTTTAGGTAACCAGCCCTCATGTTAAGGGAGAAATCTTGTCATTTTTCATCCAACAAACACCCCTTTCCTAATTGTAATTATTGACAGACATTTGTTTATAGGTCTTGGACAAGCAGTAAATTTGGCAGTTTCCCTCACGAAATTTCCTCAAGCCTGCCTGCTGGCCGATAGAAAATCTACCTATAATGCCACCTTTTGTTCCGTGTTAGATCAGCTCATAGAATACGAATCAGAACACTCATTTCCAGTTATACAGAAAGAATCCGTTCAAGGTGCAACAAAGTTTGTTAGGGGCATTGGTAGGCATGGAAAAACCTACAATCTAACTGAAAAGGATTTACCATCATGGGAAATTGAAGAAAACATAAAACACAAGTTATAGAATTATCAAATGTTTATTAAATTTATTGTTTAGATTACTTCTTTTTTACTTCGTGAGCTATGTGTCATGGTTTTTTGGTCAAAATCTGATGAATCGGCGGAATTGCTAGATCTTCTCCTATTTAGACTACGACGTAATTCCTAAATAAATTAGTTTATTAATGGTTTAAAAAATGAACATTCCTAAAATACTAAAGCTTATAGAAATCACGATTTAGATCTTACAATATTAATAATAATACTCACTTTCGATGCACTGGATTTCCTTCCTGACCTTCTCTTAATGCGGTATAAAACATCTACACACAGCTTTGTCTGTTTGCAAAGTATAGGGTCATATCTTTGTATTTGTCCATATTGGTCTTCTAAAGAGCATATAGAGTTAAAGGTCCCAATATTAATTTGATTTCATGGACTTACTCTCCAAAAGCACTAAAACATAGGTTTGCTTTGGTTTCATAACGGTAGTTGCATAAGTAAATGCATCTAAAGATTTTATATTTAATAATTCCCCTGTGTCTACATCACAAATATCAAATTCCTCTACAAACAAGCAATTAAATAAATCATTATTGTCGTATGCTTTACCATTTTTATCGATTCCAACTTTTTCGCATATGTAATCAATTAATATTTGCACAGGACTATTAGGATTAACCAAAAATTCTTTGTTTTCTTCTTTCACAGACATAATTGACTGTTGAGAGTGGATTATTGTTGTTTGCTCTTCAGTTTGAATATTATCTGAAGACTTATTTAATTAGAAATATTATACATTAGAAGCAGTAGGAATACCTTGGTATTGTATTTTACAAAACATTTTGGCATAAACTGACAATAGATAACTATTTTAAATAGCAGCTACACAATTGACAATTATATACTGTGGGCCCTAAAGGTATGTAGACAGCACACTCGAATTAGGCGAGACAAAAGATAAAAAATACCCGTTCGACTGATTTAAATGAGCTTGTCATGAGCCGTCATTTAAAAGTAGACATAGGGAAAATAATACACGTAAAACCCTGTCTACTTCTTAATCAAAATCACTGTATACAGGGTGTCCCTAAAAGGTCTGTACAACGCGCTACCAGGGGTTCTTGGTATCAAAATAGGACGATTTAATCCAACTTACCTCTATCCAAAAGTGCTTCGGTAAGGCGATATCTATCGCCAAAGATTTAAAAAAAATCGTTATTTTTATATTATCGGAAAATGGTTTTGCCGATTAAAATGAAATTCGGGATGTGAATGTCTAATGTAAAAAGGGTCTTTGTGATATCATCGTTTTGATTGTAGTTGCTATGTAGGTGGTAAAATACTGACCATCCACATCTGAAGAGGTCTAAAACTTTTTAATTACTATTTTGACGCTTCTGAATGTTTAGATACTGAAAAGCAGTTTACTTGCAAGCATTTTTTCATTATCGATGAATTTTTTCATTTTTTCCTCTTGATGAATATCGCTATCTGTGATGGTTTACAAAAAAAAATTTAGGCATGATGAATGACATGCACCATACATGCGATTGTTCCTCAAAAAATCAGTTTTATTTTTTATTTATTTATTTAGTAGTTTAAATTAATACATTACATTGACTTACTCTGTTGTGTTCGTTTATTCTACGTTACATGCACTACGGTTTCATAGCCTACTTCTTGCTTGCACTTATGGTTTTTGAGGATCAATGGCATGTATGGTGCATGCCATTCATCATGCCTAAATTTATTTTTTTTTCGTAAACCATCAGAGATAGCGATGTTCATCAAGAGACAAAAAATGCTTGCAAGTAAACTGTCTATCAGTGTCTAAAAATTCAGAACCGTCAAAATAGTAGTTAAAAAGTTTTAGACCTCTTCAAATGTGGATGGTCAGTATTTTACCACCTACATAGCAACTACAATCAAAACGATATCACAAAGACCCTTTTTACATTTAGACATTCACATCCCGAATTTCATTTTAATCGGCAAAACCATTTTCCGATAAAATAAAAATAACGATTTTTTTTTAAATCTTTTGCAGTAGATAGCGCCTTACCGAAGCACTTTTGGATAGAGGTAAGTTGGGTTAAATCGTCCTATTTTGATACCAAGAACCACTGGTAGCGCGTTGTACAGACCTTTTAGGGACACCCTGTATATGTATATGCTTATTGTTATTACAGTAACCTCTATCGCTATCTACTGTGCATAAGTCATGAAGGCTAACAGCTCTGTCTGAAATCGGTGCTATGTTGACCAAGGGAGTCACCTCTCGGTCGATCACCATATATACACAGGCCTGCTCCTCTTTCCGTTAGTTTGCGTATTTATTTACGTGAAAGTCAAAAATAATGGATTTGGCAGATCAATTAAAATTACTAAAAGTATGGCAAGAAATTTTTGCACAAAATAGAGCAATCTCAATTTTATTTATTGCAGGCAGCTAACGCCAATTTAAAGCAACAATGTGGAAAATGTGGAACTATGGAAAATAAAAAAATTTATTTTTGCATGTTACTACTGCCATGTAAGTAAAATGTTAAAATTTGTAAAACAATAAGCCAAATATGGTAGTAGCTGATCCTTAGTATATAATTACAATTTTGACTGTATACAACATACAACTCATAATTAAATATCTTCCTTAACGATATGTTTTGTTCTTTCTGGTACAAAGGGTACTTCTCCCTTTTTAGAGTGTGTGCGACGATTTGCCTCCTTCCTCTTTATCTTCTGTTTAATGGTCCTCAATTCATTTTGAGCATTGTATATATGTTTAGGTACTTGTCTGTGACGAGCAATACGACGTATTTGTGGATGAGTAGCATACTTCTCCTTTAATACTTCACTGTATTGTAGTGCAGTTCTTTCTCGTGGTTTTAACTAAAATTTACATTACATTTAAACAACCAACATTTTTACTTACAGTCCCTAATTTTTCCGACGCCCTCGCTTTCCATATTCGAATGTTCATCTCATCAGATCCGCTAAGAATATATTTGTTGTCGAGGGACCACAAGACACAAGTTAAACGTTGCATTCGTTTTGTGTGATATATTTCACGTGAATGACCCTTTCCAGCTTCAAATATTCTAATCGATTTGTCATAACTGCCACTTACAAATTCCTTTCCTGTAGGGGAATAGTCCAGATCAATAACGGCGGAAACATGATCCACATGAACGTTCACAGGTTTTTTTAACCATCTGGTATCAAAACTGTACAAACTAAAAACAAAAAATATAAATTCGTATGTATAAAAAATAAAAAAATATTTGTAAAAATGTTAGGTTTAGTTTTAGCTATAACCAATCAATCAACCAATGCTGTTAAGAAATAAACTGTTCCGGAAACCAATGTTAGTTAAATGGGAAAGAAATGTACGTATTCTGGGGTGGAATTAAATAATGCTGTTGATTTGCCTTAATAAACATATGAAGGAAAAAGTTTCATGCAGAAATAAAAATATTAAATAGCCAATATTTCCAAAAACTGAACATTTTTGGAATGGACAAAGTTGACCTGATTTTCTGAGATTAATATGACAGTAATAAAAATAGGAGGTTTCCATTTAAAACAAACTTAATTTTACCAACTTCTTCAATTCAATTTTTTAATGCAGAATTTTCAAATAATTGAAAAAACTGTGAGACTGTGCCTACTTGATTTTATCTGTCAATATAGGTTTTTTCAATTTATTTGAAAACCTCGTATTTCAAAGCAAAACTAGTGCATTAATCTCATCTCTGGGCAAACTGTAGATAACTAGCATTCATCAGAGAACACCCTGTATGGTAGGGCTATGCTCTGTCAAAACAAAGCAACAGCATCATGCAATTCTACATCAGAATAGGCACATTTTTGCCTCTTTAACTCTTGTTCATGCCAAAAAGCCACCCTATAATGTTACAAATACATAACACTTTCGACATGCTTACTTGTAATCCTCATTCGCACATGTAAATATAAATGCCTCCATTGGATTCCACACCAAACGATTTGGACGCAACTTCATGATAACCTTTCGTAAAGGTCCCGTATCACGAGTATCATATAAAATAATGCTTCTATTACTTGCACACGTTGCTAATAAATTCGATTCTATAGGATTAAAAGCTATGTCATGTAAACTATCCACGCCCCATTTATATGTGTGTATTGGTTCACTACGGCTCTCTTCCCATATTTGACAAATCTCTCCGCACGTTGCAAATATCGGTTTACTTTGATGATGGCTGATTCCAGTTACAACAGTTTTACTTAAGATTGTATTAATTGGTTCCTCGTCTTCGGGTGAACTCGGTGCGGCCGTGTTCCAAGTTTTAATGGTTTTGTCATCGCCCAAAGTAAAGAAACATCTGCCCTTGGGTTCGTAAGTAATGCTCCTGACAATTCCATCGTGCGCCACGAAACTACGTATACATAATTTTTGTGGCACATCCCAAATTCGAATTTCTCCGTCGTACGATCCGCTTAAAAGAATTGAGAGTTGCTTTGGGTGTTTACTTAAACATGAAATGCCATCACGATGACCATCTAGGCTTCCTACAAATGGTTTTGCAAATACTCGCTCTAGTTTAACAGCGTTTAAAGCTCTAACATATTCTCTGGCAGACTCGAACGGATGTAAATTGGGATCATAATTTCTAGGAGCTGAAATTTGATTGTAATAAATGAGACCTAATACGGAAATGAGTACTTTTATGAATGTCTCGTTTTGTTTCACGGAGATAATCGTCAGGATTTCTGCTTAAAACTTTCACTTTCATTTTAACAACACGTTTAAGCAAATATTGGGTTGAGGTTAGAATTATTCGTCACCAACAGTGTCTATGGTTACGGCCGTACATACAGGGATGGGAAGGTCTGGGCCCGACATTGAAACATTTTGAGAAAATATACAGGATGCAACGATTAAGTATGGTTGGGCAATAGAGGAGCCAAAGCAAGTAATTTTTACAAATAAACTGAATATCCAAGATGCTTCGTTTGGGATCTAAGTACGCCCACGAAATCCTTAGAATGCACGGATTTTCCTTACTTCTTTTTCTCAGCAGCTAGATATGCGATAATAGGATCGAAGTAACCGATTTGCCAGGCCCTAGCTGATTTTATAATCATTTTCCTAAAATTCTATCCAAAGGTAGCGGGAGTGTCCAAAAAGTCCGCTCATGAGGAATTCTGATTTAACATGAAAATTCCGAATCAAAACGTTTATGATAATGTCAAAAAACTTCTTCTACTGCAATGTTTGGAACGAAAACATATCTAGATTTTTAATTACTTTTCAACGTGCAAAACATGCGCCTTAAGGAAACTTCTCTCTTACACTGAAAGATATAGGTATGTGTTAGGGACGCGTTGTATTATAAACTAATATTTTTAAATGGTATTAGACCATGTCTATTTGCCACAGAACTGTTATTGAATTGAATTGGTCTTAAATTTCCATTTTGGACTTTAGTAAAAAAAATCGTGAAAATATCGTACACTTCTTTATACGAATAAGACAAAAGAGTAAGTACACTAATGGGGAAAGGAATATTAATGTAAATTAGGTAGCTCTTGACATAGTCAACGTCAAAAATGCAAAAATTCGTCATTTTTCGTCTTTTCTTCTTCTTTTTGACCTGTTCTCGACGCCCAATATTTATTTCTATGGTAAACTTAACATTTAAGTATGTAGCACCTCCAACAGCGCCATATGCCTGGGGCCTAAATACCAATATGATGCCTGGAAAGTCTAAAAACAGTGACAGTTTTTTTGCCGTATTTTTAACTATACACTGCCACTCATTCCCCATTTCGGTGGCCCGGAGCAATAATATGCGAATTGCGGCTACCAATCCGGATGTTGTACACCTGAAGGGCTTAACTGGCAACTGCGGATGTTAAATATGGAACCAAGAGGTAGAAATGGGTTTGGCGCGCTAATTTCAGGGCATTGGGTAAGTAAAAATATATGTGAAAACATCATGGGCGCCGCCAGGAAATTTTGTAGGAGGGGGCAAGCTCACCATTAATATGGACGTGAGTGGAGGGGATAGGGTATGCAAACTCAAGGTTACGTGCCAGTAACAAACTTATTGCGTTTCATTTTATTTAAACAAAAACATAACTCTTCTATTATCTGTTCCAAAGAGATCTATGCACTTCTCAACAAACTCTTTCTGATTGTCTTTTATAAAATGTCTATGTACGGACATCAAACAAAGACCACTAAGTCTGTTGTTTCCAGTCTTGTACCTAACTTCACCTAGTTCTCAGTTTCCCCAGATTGATCATTGATATCTACAGTACAGTAAAGAATAAGAATGATTCACTCGCCATATATAACAATAGCAAACGGCATTAGGGAAAAAATGTTACTTTCGCTGCCATTGTTGTACCAATTTGCACTACGCCTGATTGCATGGAAGAGGTTCTCCATCTCCGTCAAGTGTCCGCCGACACTTGTAGAGTCTTGTTTTGCAGCCTCCCTTGCAGCCACAAGACACGAAGAGGATGCACGCACGAGGAATGGATTCAAGTGACATCAAAATTGGTTTCATTGCATCATACTGGATTCGCCATCCACACTCCGTTGCAGAAAGAAGGCGCCGTGAAGCTTCACAGGCGGTGTTCAAATAACTGACTAAAAATAAGTAGCACTTTCACCATTTCCGTGAGTCACGTCATCAATCTGTGTCAAAGCATCGTTTCCTCCAAACAGCAGCGATAAAAAAGGAAAACGCTTTTCATTACCATGGTAACTGCCTTGCTCTTGCTGGCCTGGCGTTAATACCATTTGTAACGCTTCTTAAAGATTTCAAGTAACTCAGTGCAACGTGAACAAGTTCCGAAAAAAAAAGAGTATATGGTGGCGGGTAGTTTCAAACGCAAAATCATTTCCATAAAGATTTGGATTTTGCGTAATATTAGTGTTCAATATTCTAAACAGTTTCGACTGCCAAAAGTTACGTTTGAAACAAATCAAAGAAAACTTGGGCAGTATGTTTTCATATGTTTTTACTTACCCATATTGCCTTGAAATTACGCCGCCAAACCAACTTCGCGTCTTGGTTCCAAAGTTAACGTTTATAGCAGACGGGTCCTCTTATTCGCAGTTAAGGCCTTTAGATGTGTAACATCCAGATTGGTAGTCACAATTCGCATATTATTGCTCCTCCGGGCCACCGGAGTGTGTAGTAAAAATACGGCAAAAAAAACGACTTTTTCACTGTTTTTGGACTTTCCAGGCACCATATTTGTATTTAGGCCTCTGGCATATGGCGCTGCGGGAGGTCCCCACACATTTAAATGTTAATTTTAACATAGAAATAAATATTGGACGCCGGCACCAGGCCAGAAAGGACGAAAAATGACGAATTTTGCATTTTTGAAGTTTTTAGGCGGCATTTTGGCACTTAATATGCATAACGTCGTGTGTACTAGATGTTATTCTACCGGTAAAGAGTACCCAAAACGTTCAGTGGCGTACCTTGGGGGCTCGAAATAATGGAAAAGCGGCAATTTCAATCGCCATCTTGGATTTGGGGGCTTAAATGCCAAAATGGGATCTGGCAACAGGGCGCATCGTTTTCATCGGGGTCGAATTATTCTAGAACCGCCTGTTGCCAGTTTCTAGCAGTCCTGACTGAAGTGATCATCTTACCAACCTAACGCCAAGAGATAAAGATCAGTGAAGGAATTGGAACATCTTCAAAAATTTTTAACTTTTAATTACCTGAAAAAGCTCCATTTGCAGTTTAACAGTTTTATGAACCCAATGGAAATAAAAACAAATGTTTATTTATTGTTATTTGAATAAATTAACAAGTTTGAGATTGATTACTTACAGAATGACCCAATAGAAATAAGAAAATGTTAAAGTAATAAACCAGTCACTATTACGTGGTACAGTTAAAGCTTTGAAGGTAGTAATGTAGGTAGTTTTTTAACTTAATATTTTACATGACACTTATCTTTTAATAACTTAGTACAAAAAGGTAAGTTACGTTTGAACATAAAAATGAGCTTGTGACAAAATTAAAATTTTATATTTAAAAATCAAAGTATGTATAGGCAAACGATGTGGGCAAAAAATAAAACGAACATTTCTAAAAATAGTGGCATATAAACAAAGTTTGAACTTGAACTTAATTTCTGTGACAAAGTTACACAAACAAATTGTAGGGGCGTTAAGGGTTATATGTGTAACGTGTATTTCAGTTAGTATATACTCATATTTTATGCTAGACTAGAAAAGAGTAAACAGAACACTCACATTCATTACTCATTAGTTCTGCTACAAAAATATCCCATCTAATGAATTTTTCCAGCATATCTTACCTTTTTGCATAACAGCATAACACAGTCACAATGAAAGAGAATTAAAGGATATTGAAATACTTAAGCCAGAGGTAATATCAACATACCCCGAATTACAAAAAAAATGTTATTAAAATGAAAGCGCTTCAATTTTCTTACAAACAAAACGAGATAACAAATTGCGGAATGAAACAAAGTATTTGTTAATAGGACACATTTAAAAACAATTGATTCAAACAAAAAAAATGAATTTATACACAAATACTTTGTTTCCATACTGACTGGATTTTCTTAAAATTACACATAGTAAATAAGTACAAAATATTACATTAATAATATTAACACTTAATTTAAAAATCAGCCGTTTTAACTCTGAGATATCACAAGGTACACAAGTTGTGTCTTTAAATATCGAACACTGTTTATATACATATACTTTTATTAAGGTCACAACGACTAGTTTAATTTATCAAAGTCTTATTTAAATTAAATATTTAAATCGGCCATCATTTTTCTAAAATCCGCAAGAGTGTTATAGTCAGGATCTAGATCAATGTCGGCGAAGTCTCTTCTAGAATCTGACTTGACGAAACTGGGATTGTAGCGACTGAGAGATAGAGGGCACGGTAACAGCTCCGGCATAACAGAATGATGGGTTATTAGGGAAGTTAGGGTTGTAAATTCTTTCGTGAAACCCTGCAAGAGATTCCGTTTGTCAAGTACAACGCGCGAATTAGTCTTACCTTAATTTTAAAGCCTTTGTTTGTTCTAATAATCAAATAATGCGCTATTCCGGAAGGTTGAAAGCTTCTAGGAACTCTAAGGGATAACGCGTAACATCCTTGCTTAGTTGTGCTTTCTCGTACCATGAAAGCACCGACAGGTTCTTGGCCCAAAACTTCCAAGGTGATTTCTCTAGGAATGCCCGCTTGAAACCATGGCGCTGTTCGTAATTCTCCTTCTTCCTTGTATGTAAGGGAGTCGGTCCTTTCGGGAAGCGGAGGTGGTATGGGAGTGAAGGCTAGAAATGAGTTTTCGGTACCGCCTTGCGGACAAGAGCTGGAACTACTGGAACTAATTTGTGATATTCGTTTCGCCTTAAATTCTGGATCGGTAGACGCAGGCGAACTTTGTAATAATCTATCTTGTATTTCTATATGTTTAGTAATATTAGAAGTTACAGTTTCCATTTCTACTTTTATACTATTATTCGTATTATTAATATTTTTATTTTCATTATCGTTATCCATTTCATTAACATACCCTGCAAGAAGAGGCCTTGACGTGGGACTATTAGGTGTACTACTTGGAGACTCTCCATTAACTAAAGGGCAACTATCATCGTCTGTATTGTGAAGACCGGTAATTCCCATTGCTATTCTTTTTATTAAAGGCGGTTTTTCGGTAATTTTTTTACAGGAATTAAGTTCGGTCGGTGAATTACTTTCATCGCTACTAGGTGTGCTATGTTGAGATTGACTCTTTTCAGGTGGATCAAGTACATTGTATTTGTGCGTTAATCTTAATCCTGGTATAGAGTTAGGTGGATTTAATCGTAACGTTGATGCGTCTGAGCTATTTATGTGGACGTCCATTTCAAAATTTTGATTATTATTAAGTTGCGGTGGTTTTTCTTTTTTTAAGGCAGTGGTCAGTTCTTTTGTCTGAAACAAAATGACAATATTAGGAAGTTTTACATTTCCAGCATTACAATCAAGCCTACCCACTCGTTATGTAATTGTTACAATTAGGTACTCAGTATTCATATATTTACGTTCCTTTAATACACAGTATTAACTAAGTGAAAGCTCCTAAAATTTCCCCTCCAAAAAATAACAAATTGGCACATTGATTTTACAGTAACAATAAATTTTTGGCGACATTAATTTCAATTACTTTTTTCATTTCTCATTATTTAGGGGTTCTTGAGTTACTCACTAAATACCACCATTTTCAATCGACATTCACGTCCTACTTACACGCATACATTGTATTGTAGGTCTGATTCGTATAATTTTTATAAGGCGCGTTGTTTTTTACACATCACTACATTTGCACAGCGAGTACTGTACTATACCTTGGGGGTAAATGAAATGGTGCGTATTTATTCATTTATATTTGTGTTGTGATGAGATAAGTATTTACGATTACTTAATTATGGTCTAAATATTTACTTAAGCGCAATATGGATACTGTATCAGAACTGGTAGTAACAGTAGCAAGCGAGCGATTATTCTATAATGAACTGAATGCTTTGCCAAGCATGCTCTTGAATTATTTGTGTTATTTTGTCTGCATGTCAGACAATCAATGCATTGTAAATCAGCGTCACTACCGGCTGTCGTGTATCTACATTTCTGCTGTTAACACATGTACGAGCGAGTGTACGAGCAAATAGGTACCTAATTTTTATAATAACATTACTGAGAGAAATTAATTAACTGAGAAACCGTTTTGTAATAATTGCAATTAGGATGTGCTTTCATCCAAAAATAAAAATTTGGAATGGAGTAAGAGTTCTGACGGGCCAAATAAACGGACTCTCAAATTGTTATTATTAAATTTCTAACATTTTTTAAAAACTATAGTATCAGTACGTAATACTAGTGGAACTTTTGTTTTTAATAGCAAATAGTTATTTATATAACAAGAGCGCGAAGTTCAATTTCGCGCATTGAGACTGAAGGTATTTTGACGAGGCGAAGCCGAGTTAAAATATCAGTCAAATGCGCGAAATAACTTCGCGCTAGCGTTATATACAATATTTTGATTATAGTCGTTTTTTTTTTGTAACTCATCTCTTAAGTTGGCAGTTACTAGTTAGTACAAGTAGGTACTTCGTTGGGTACTTCCATGTTTGAACTTCAAAATGTCAGTCTTACTACGCTGCCAACCTAAAACTTAACGGCATAAAAAGTGTTCCCAACAAAAACATGTTAGTTCTAATGTTCCCTATAGTTTCTGATAATGATTTTTTTAATTAAATTAAAGCACCGAAATAGAAAAAATAGTATGAAAAACGCGTGTTACAATGCTTTATTGTAATACTCCTATCTTGCGGACACTCGTGGCTACGTTTCGCGTCGCTACTCGTGCCACAAGATAGTCGTATTACAATAGGTCGCATTGTAACACTTGTCTTTCAATATACTATTGTAGCCCACTAAAGCCTTAATGAAGCCCTAATTTATCAACAATTGAGCTGCTTGCAGAAATTTCATTTATTAACCTTCGAGAAGCGGTGGTGGAATCTCCACGGACAATTACCTAATAAATTTATGTCATACAAAAAAAAATGTGCCAAATTTTGAAAGTGTCTTAAACAAATGGAAGTGTGGGGAAAAAGATTGTTCGCCAAGTTAATATTGTATTAGATTATTTATTATGAAAGCATCTGAATAAATTGGTGTGTGCATGCGTAAACCCATTTTTTAACGCATTGTTTAATAATAATAATAATGACCTTTATTCACATATTATATACAAAGGTAACAACACAAGAAAGAAAAATAAGACATAACGGTATATGAAATATATAATAGTGAAAGGGTGAAGTTCAAACTAATTGGTCTGCTCTTCCACTTTACCCCAATATACTACACTTAATTCTTTTTTTTAATAGCGAAATGAGTGATGTTTCTCTTAATAAAACGGTATACCTGCGTTTGTTAAAGAAATGAGAAAATGAAACTGTAACAATGTACAAAAACACAATAAAAAGAATTGGTTAACATTGGAGTTGATTTCTATAAAGTAAAAGACGCGTTTGTGTTTTAAAAGGCTTCAAGGAAAGATTTTTGATAAAAGCTGGCAACGAGTTATATTGTTTTGCAAGTTGATAAGAAAAACACCCTTCGAAAAGATGATGAGCTGGAATAGTCATAAGTCCTTTGAGATAGTGTACGGAGAGTAATTTTATTATAAAGATACTGTGGTTTATGAGTTAAAATGATTTGATGACACATATACAAAAAATGAAGGGAACGACGATTTTCCATATTCAACCACTTTATTTCAGACATCTTATGGGAGACATGATCAAATTTTCTCAAGACGAAAATGAGCCGTAGACAAGAATTTTGCACTCGTTGTAGTATTTTCCTGCAGGTTACATCCAAGCAAGGTCCATATACACAATCTGCATAATTAAAATGCGATAGAACTAGCACATTCATTAGTTTTACTTTGGTATCAAAGTGAAAGTTGTATCTGCGGATATACAAAGATTTTAGACTGCTGAAGGCGCGCTGAATGCAAAGGTTTATATAACTTTTAAAACGAAGATCGCTATCCATGATTAGTCCTAAGTTCTTGTGTTCCGTTTTTATTGAATGACGTGATTGATTGATTCTATCTGTTCAAAAGCTAGTTACTAATTCTAACGCGTCTTTACTAAAACCAAAAAAATGTAAGATTGAAATTAGCATTTCGTGGTCCAACATGCCAAATGCCTTAGAATAGTCTACGAGGACATAGTGAGCATGTTGTTATCGGTTGCTGTAATGATATCGTCCACAATGCATGATAAAGCTGTAGAACAACTATATCCACTCCTAAAGCCTGACTGCATAAACGGTAAAATGTCGTTTTCATCCAAAAATTTCTTGATTTGCATTTCCATTGCTCTTTCTAGCAATTTGGATAACATTGGTAGAATGCTTATAAGGCTGAGATCTTGTAATGTAATGTGCGAACATTTTTACATTTAGGTAAGGGTGCGTTTATGTTGAAGCCGCGATAAGTGATAAGAGCGTCGATACTAGCGAAGCATAGAAAAGTGTAAATGTACTTAGCATAGATCTGTTTATATTGGAGCAGCGCGTTAATCATTCTTGAGTCGCCAACCAACGATAATAGCGTCGATAATCTCTGCACGCATTTTCTTCGCTCTTGTCGAGTATGGATGTAGAACTTTTAATCAGTGAAATTTTTGTCAGGCCTCCATTATCGGACCAAAAAACAAAAACCACCAAAAAAGGTTCATTCTGGACAAATAGTGAAAGGAGTTGGCACTAAATTGAAAAAAATTAATAGAAGGTTTTCGCCTATTAGTTAATAACTTTAGTGCATTTTCAGTGAATTGATCAGTAATTCCCAAAAAGTAGCACAAGCAGCCAAGAGGAGGAGGAGACAAAAAGAAAGGCAGGGAGAGGACAACAATAAGAAAAGGAGAAACAGGCAGGAAGGAAACGAGACCAAAGGAGGGAGGCATCGGAAGCTAATGGAACGCCCGAGTGAGGGGCCATCACCAGGAAGCCGAGTTCCCTCTAATACAGATATTCCATTGGCGAGACTGTGGTCGTACCCTTTCGGGTCGGACAACATCCAGCCCCCCCCCCCCCTCCACAACCTCCCCATTCCACAAATTCCACCACAATGTTTGGCATACGTCGCGACCCAACGTAATAGCAACAAATTGCTGGAGATGCACCCCCATTAGTTCCTACCAGGGGCACATACCCACGACAGTTGACTAAATTCTGGGAGAGGCGGTTACGCCAGGCATATGCCAAAGTATCAAGGACGATGTAAAATTCGTTAATGTTTTGACTACTGAGCGATGAGTCCTGCGCTAATCGAAGCTCGAACATAAAACACCGCATTAAAGCAGAGCGCGGCACTCTGCTCTTGTCGCTGCTCTCATCGACGCTCTTATCACTTATCGCGGCTCCAACATAAACGCACCCTAAAGGAATTACGTGTGCTACTTTCCAATCATTAGGAACATAATTTGTCTCAAGGCAGCAATAAACCACATGCAGTAGATAAGGCGACAGAATAGGCAGACGAACTGTAATCATTGAATAACTAACCCCGTCAGCGCCCACAGAGTTTGTCGTAATTTTTGAGACTATCATAGCAATATCCGATTCAGTAATGACAGTGAAAGAATAAAAAAAATGTGCTACTGTTTGCGTTCTGTCTGTCCGTATATCCGGCCGGGCCCACTTTTGCCGTTTTATACTACTTTTAAGAAAATTGTCGTAGAGGCCTGGAATTGTTTACAATAGGTACCCTATGCCGTAAATTTGTGCCAGGCGGCGTTCAAATTTTGTAGTCTTGAGGGGGGCCACCCCCATTAGTTATTTCTCGTTATCTCTGAAAGTAAAAGGCGGATAACTTTTACATGGGACAACGAATTTGTCTCAGATTTTGCATACGCATATTCCTCTAGTGGTACCATATAAAACCTTTAAAACCTTTCATGGTATTCTAATGAAAGGTCTCATCGACAGGAATTGGTTTCTACAAACTACAACTGTCTTCCCCGATTCCTTTTCGAGATCAGTGGGAGGGGTGCGGGGGTCACAAATTGATTTTATCTTTCATGGTACTCTAATGAAAGGTATCAACCAAAGGAATTGACTTCTAGCAACTATCGCTATCCTCCAACCCTCCTCTCCAACATCTTTTCGACATATCTCATCTCGAAAACAGATTGTCATATCGATTGCGTTGTAACAATTATTATCAAGCTATTGTCTAAATAACACGCATTAAGCATGCGGTCTTTTTTTAAAATCCTTTACCTCGCTCAATGTGCAAATTTCATTGGGGTTATAAAAATGCGCTTTATATGTACAAGGGCTGTGCACAAATTGTGCTTGTTATCGGCGTGATCAAGCCCATTTTTAAATATACTGCTGAATTCAGAAACATTATAAGCTCATGCAGTTAAGATTTCAATCAAAATGTTTTAATTGTAAATCGACAGAATTCTTTCTCTTCGTCCACCATATTTAAAAAAATCAACTTCAGGGATGTTGTCAATTTAGACGCCGCCGGTCATTATATTGTTAGTTTATAAGTATTTTTGTTAAGTTAGAATAGTTCCATTTATTATTTTTTGTTTCAGAACTCTTAGAATTTTTTCCCTTTCAATCTTTCACACGCTCTGTGCGGTTTTACAAATTCCATATGTTTATTTCAATTTATGACTTCCGTGTTCTTTCTGTTTTCGCCTGTCACCCTAATTTTTAAGTTATTTAATACGTGACTAGGCAAAGGAGCCGCTTGCATGCGGTCCTTTGCGCTAATATTGCAGCCCATATGGTTGCAATAAATGTTCTTAGTTTTAGGGTGTTAATTAGTCAATTTTTTAGTTTTCAAGCAGTCACATTTCGCCTACATTCGAAGTAGGTTGACTCAAAAGTTGGTAGTGCTCAATTTACATTAAAGGGTGTTGTAATTTTGTAAATAATTGTACATAAATTTGTGTTATGAAATAAATAGTACCTGTATAAGGTTCTGTGTAAATGAAGATTTACAACCTCGTTTACAACAAAAGGTTTAGCTCGCGAACCAGCTACCAGAGCTATCGTCTCTAAGTTCCTATCGGGAACTTTTTCATTTATTCCAAACCAAGGGATCTATACTCTGTTTTGGTTTAAAACCGCATCAATTTTTTACCTAGAATTCGAATGATTATGATTCAAATGCAATGCATAATTTTAATTACGTATCGATGCTATGTTTACAAGAGCTATATTTGCTAACGTAAGGTTCTGTTTTTACAAACAAATAATATACCATTTGGAACAACCTTCTTCGCTTTCTAAATATTACTCCACAACTTTACACCATTCGCTAAGCTTATTGTAAGAACTGTATCTATACTACTACTCACCCAAAGTACTTTATCAGTATTAGAATCTAATTGTGAGCTAATAACATCTTGTAATGTTGGTTGTTTCTGTAGTTGAGCCGCGTACGCCATCCGAAATGCATTTCCCACAATGGAATTTAACTCCTCCGCCTGAAACAAACCGAAATGTTAACATAAAAGCACATCCTACCTACAATTGCTAAGAATGAAGTAAAAATTCAAACTTGATGAATTACTATCTGTCCACGTTTTTGTAATGCCCCCAAGTGTGACCATCAGTATTATTTTTCATCTACCCCGTAACTTTCCCTTCCAAACAACCTCCATTAATCACTAGTACTCGAAGAAGCTCTTGAAGTCGCAATCACGCGCGGTCAAGTGATAAATTGGCCGACCGAGACGCCATCAACAAACAATACTTTCTTTACCTCAAATACGCAAAAATAACAAAAAAATTTAAAGAAAGAAATGATTAATTTATAGCACATCTATTTTTGTTCACATGACAGTTTCTTTAGCATTATTCGAATTTAGCATGCGAAATAAAGTGTAAGGCACGATGGCCTCGCTGACATAAAATTATGATCACATATAATAAGGGAAATAAGACGTGAAGTTAATGCACTGATGCGATTGTGTTTAACAATGGTGTTTACATGCTCATTAAATTGCGAATGGTGTCTTTCATGAACATAAAGTGCAATTTATAACTAACAACCGTTCTTACGCGTACTTGTAATATCACATTTTATGACATGGCAAATTTCCTTTTTGTGAATTTCTGAAAAGATATGTTCGATCTAATTCCGGTGGGATTAGACACACTCAAGAGAAACTAGAAAGCAAATAGCACAGTTTTCCGTCTGAATGCTATTCCGTGTTCGGTGATTTCTAAGTGGAAACTACATGCGGTATCCATTATCCACCTGGCCCAGACCCTCCTTTCTAATCATCTGTCTGTTATCCTGTTCATTAAAGAAATGTTGGCATTGATTTAGGAAAATACACCAACACTCTCTACCGTGCCTCGGTATGGTGCTAGTAATATATTATTAAAACAATCAGGGTGCGCTACATGCGAAATTATGACGTTGACACCGGTGACGTTTCGACTAATAAATTATTTAAACCCAGAGAAAGCCTAAATTAATTTTTTGTCAGATTTAAAACAAGTTCAACTCGTTTTGCAGTCAATTTTGTACATGTATACTTTGAATACTTTCTTTATTATGCAAACCATCAGAATTGTTCAGAACTGAAAAACTAAACCTCCAGCTAGACACAAATACATGATAATATATGCGCTTTTCGCATAAAAATAGAAATACCTACATGTACTTTAATCTGAAGAACTTTGACCTTGTAATTTGCATAAATGTGAGAAGCGGTAAGGTCCTTAATCCTTTAAAAAGCGAACAACTTTGTTATTTTAAACGTAGGTACCTACGACATCGATGGTTTACAATTTAGTTTGCTATGTAATCCTCATAAAATAAACAGTAAAGTTTTATTTATTATACTGTAAGGTAACTGCTAACAATAAAATATTTTATTTTAATGATGGTCATAACTTTATTTTGTGTAATTTGTATCACCTACGGATTTTTACCGCAGTAAGAAATTACAGTTTCTAACGGAGGTAAGAGGCGATTAGTTTTCTAATTTAATCTGTCTAGTATCGCATTAATTCTGAAGACCTGATGGCAGGAAATTGTGTCTATTTATTTACCTATGATATTATTGACAGGATAAATTCTATTTCTGTCAGCATATGCTAAACTATGGGGAATAAAGTTATTAAACGGAAAAAATTAAGCATAAGGAAGTTCCACGAAATTGTAACAAGTTAAAAAGTAATCGAAAACGATTTACAAAAAGCGCATTTCCACTAGCAGTCACTTCCCATTTGTAAGATGCATCTTCTGTTAAAATCGTAAAAATCCGGCCAAAAATATGAAAGAGCGTTGCACATGTGCAATCCATTTTTGACGTGCTACTTCAATTTCTGTTTATAAGAAGAATTTCATTTCAATGCTTTTCTAAATAAGAAAGTTGGAACTGCGCATGCCCAAAATAAAACTATGCTCATATTGAATTTCATGCATTTCAGTTCATAACTAACGGAGATCGTCAAAGCGATCGGACATTTGTAAACAAAGTTATCGTTCACAAGGACAGATAGAGGGACACACAGACAAAGAAACAGACGGACAGACCAAGAGACACACGACAGACAGCAATACAAAATTATAAACGATCTCTAGGATCGTTAATAAACGGCAAAAGCGTAAAATTATGGGACATGTAAAAAACGGTTTTTTGTTTTTTTTTACAATAACTTTTTTAGTAATAAACGCAGAAAAAATTCCTTCCTTGGTGCAAGCCTCGACACCATAACTAACCAAATAGCGAAAAACTAGAACAATAGCTCTTAAGATAAATAACTAATAGTGTCTCAACCAACGAGCGGACGGACAGACGGACAAAGTGGCCACAATAGTGCATTTATTTTTTATTTTTGTGGAAATGCGCTAAAAATACAGGGAATTTTTCTATGCGCTATGTAGTATACCTACTGTAAAAAAAACGTATCAAAAGCATGGAATCATGATAGTATCAAATCGTATGGGTACTCTGATACAGGGAGATCAATAATCATATGCTGCGCCGCTCTTATAAAAATATCACATTAGTAATCATTTGCCGCAACCAGTTATATGTGTACCAATACAAAACAAAAACAAAAACATAACCTATAATTCCGATGTGTGATTCTTAACTTCCGTCCATTTCAAAACGGCTTTTTTCAAGGCTACCAGTTTCTTTCGAATATTTACAAGGTGGGTAAATTGCTTATAAATTATAAACAAACGTTTTTTTAGTTGTAGCGTGTAAAAGGTAATAAGTTTACTCCGACATGCCTTTTACTTTAAAGAGAGTCAGATGCATTTGCAGTCCTGTTTCCGTAATGGGACTAAAGACGAAAATTGAGTTTGGCAGTACTCGATACGTTTGTGTATACAGGAGTTTCGAGAAACCTCTTGAGCAAATTCCGAAACAGCCGCTACGACAAACGGGTATCTTATACGGAACGTGTCGCACTACTGTCTGGAGAAAGTTGTACTTTTATCCTTTAAAGTAACCGTGTTACAAGAACTCATCGTCCAGATTTACAAAGCCCTCTAAATTATTGCATGCAATTGGTTTAATGCAAATTTACGAGATTGCAACGTATTCGGAACCATTTACACACCATTGCCGAATTACGAGCAGGTATAAAAGCTGCCGTTTGAAACATTACGCAACTGTAGTTACATTCCGTCTTCGAAAACATGAAGAAAAGAGTGGATCCTTGTCTTAATAATGGTGGCGAGCACTTCGAACAGTTGTGATAGTGTGCATGTAATTTACCCAATTACTTCGATATTAACGAGTTGTAAAAGAAATAAAATCGTTTCAATTTTTGTAATAATTTACTATTTGTGTAGTTTCACATAATTTGGAAACTCACAAGGTGCTTAAATCGTTGATTTAGATTAAATATGGTTAGACGTCAAAAGTTTACTTTGGTTTGAAGTTTAAGGTTATGTTTTAGTATTAGTGCACCACGCCTGTTGCGGCAAATAATTACTAACGTCATAATTTATTGAAGCGGCGCAGCAACTCATTATTGATCGCACTGTAGTATCATGGCATGGAATAGATGGTTGTAGGCAACCAACATTACACATGACAAACTGGAGCTGTTTTTAGAGTTCTTAAACTGTTACCACCCTGATACCATACCCTATTTCCACCTTATCGTAAAATAATAAAACTAATAGCTTACTCTAATCTAATATATAATACCCAGTCATAAATTATTCTAATTTAAGATGTACAAATTATATTTACTAAATGTTGGTTTTTCATTGCTATTGTATAATTTATTATTGTATTATTTATTAACATCTATATCATGTTATACTAATTAAAATACTATTATTATTGTTAATAATTTATGTATAAATTGGCTTGGCCGTCAATAAATATTATTATTATTATTAAAATATGCGATATGTTTGCATTTACTAAAAAAATCTCAAATTAATCGTCAAGATTTTTCTTGGTTGACGTTGTAACGGGTGGAGTAATGGCGGGTGGAGTAATGGCCGGTCGAAATTTTGCAAATTTTTCGAATATCGATTTGGATTTGTACTAAAATTGGATAAACCTTTCTTCCTTTTGGGGATAAAATTTTTTTTCGCTTTGTAACTATTGTAGTATGACATCATGTTGGGTTCATTGTATTAAACTTCCTTGTGCCGCGATTCGCAATAAATGGGATCACAGAAAATTCTCAGTGCAAAACAGGATGCAGATAACGAATAAATATCGGATTTCTTTAGATAAGCTTTTTATCGTTGAGTCACCAGCCAAGCTTGGGAAAGCTGGTTCTGCAAACGCTGAAAAAATTAGTTGATAAGTATTCCCCAGTTAATTGGTTTAGATGGAGGCCATTGTATGAGAAGTACCAGTAATAAAAAAGATCAGCCATTTTGCAACGATTAAGGGGCGTGAATATGTTAGGAGAGAGCTAAGAGGAAAAAAATTTTTAAGATTAATTATGACTGTGTAGCCGGGCCGAAGAGATCGTAAATTTTCAATCGCGTGCATTAAGCACCAAATAAGTGATTCCGTTTAAGTGACGGTCGATATTAGTCCAAGTTTAAGTACAGTTTTGCACCATTAGTTAAAACGTGGAATTGTTCCATTGTGTAAATTTCACGCCCGAAGAGAAAAAGTAAATCGCGGAATCTTAGTTAAAAATTTGTCAAGCGTATTGTGCTATGAAATCATCCACATAGTGTTGAAATTAAAATTAGACGTGGACATTACGTATCAAATATAAAGCGCTAAGTAAATTCGAGCGATAATAGCGGTGTGATATGAACCCTTGTTCTTAAAGGAAAATAATACGAGCGCATCTTTGGCATCTATCCGACGGAACAAATTTGAACGTTTCACTCATTTGCCGTTGTGTTAAAATTTACTATTGTGCCTCCTTGGAATATAACCATCAAAGTTTTTTAAGTGTGGATAGCCGTTTTCATCAAAGTAATGTGTTTTAAAAGTTCAATGTAATAGTTTGTTATGAAAAAACTTCTTTAAATCGACCAAAAATCAGGCAAATTAATTCACGAACTTACTCAAATTAAGGTGTTCACATCAATAAAATTTCACTGTGGGATTATACCTACAAAACTACATGTTTTTGGAAAATCTCGTCTACCTTCTACAAGGAAAATAACCTACTCAACAGCGAGCCAAGGATTTTTCAACTGTAAACATCAGTTAGCATTCTAAAAGTTGCAGTCTACCCCATCCATCAATCAACTAGCATGTAAAGGGCTTCCCAATCTTCATCGAAGTCCTGGATTTTTAAAGGTTAGTCTATTTTTATTTTCATTGTAATAAAAAATAAAGTCAATTTGTGTGTATTTATATGTTTTATGATATGTTTTAATCGATTGTTTATTGAATCAATTTCCTTAAAGAAGGTAATTAATTATATTTGAAATAGTGGAATTTGTGTCAAGGAAAATTCAGTATAAAAAATAATATTCACCTCTTCAAGGGAGAGAACATATTGTGAGTTGGCCAACAGAACTAATAATATTCAAATTTTTTGATAGCTTAATAAGGTTTTAGTCATAGTTCCCAATTTTTATAATATTGATTGTAAAGATCGCAATTTTCTGGAATGCATTGGATTTTGCATTAAAATAAATGAATGAAATTATGGCCATTGAGTTGATGATTTTTCAACGGGAAGTTAGATGAGAAGTAGAGTAATTAACACCAGTAAAAAGTGAATTAGATACCTGATTTTTCGTTGGAAGTAAGACAGTAGAAATTTTGTATGTAAGTATTTGAGCTAGTCGGAAGCGAGGTAAAGATTTTGTGATTTTATTAAGAATTAGCGAATTTTGGTGAGATAAGCTATCCAAAAGGGTTGATGAGGTGAGAGAGGAGAGAAGGGAGAAGCGGGTACGTGTACCTGAGGTGGTTGTGTTTGTCCGTAAAAAGAAAGCACCGTCACATAATGTCGCCCAAAAGTGGAGCTCGAATTAGCGCCCTGAAAGAATCTCATGTTTAATACGTACGTTTGTTTTGATAGCGGTTTTTGATCCCGGAGGTAACGTGTTATTGTTGTACTAGGTCGCGGAAGATTAGGAATTTGTTTTGTCAGCAGTTAAGACGCGATTTATATAAACACCATACAGGGGCGTATCAAGGAACGGATTTAAAATTTTTATTGCGGTTTTGAAGTAATTTGTGGACATTTTATTATTGATTTAAAGGGTAGTAGTTGAGCGCTACGGTAGAAATAAATATTTCAAAGAGGCGATCAGAATTGCTGGTAACTTTCAAACAATTTGGCGCAAATTATTGTTGTTTATTTGAAAATACAGGTGGATAGGAAGGTAAGTCCCTTGTTTTATGGAACTACGTTCAGGATTCAAGAAAACCACGAGGAAAATACCTAAGAAAATGGAAGCGAAAAACCAAGAGAGCCAAAACGTAGTGGAGGCGCAACCATTCTCACCGGAGAGCCAAGATCTTTTCGGAAGCTACGAGATGCCACAACCCAGCCATGGAGGGGGTGAAACCAGCCACCAGGAAGTACAACCAGGTGCAGCACCAGGTGAATTAAACCGAAGCCTGGGAGAACCCATAACAACTATGCAACCTCAAACCACCAGCGGACCTGGAGAAATACTACGATTAACTAATATGATAGAGATGATTATCCAACAGTTAGGAGAAGGACAACGAAAAATGAATGAAGGGCAACAGAAAATGGAAATGAAAGTGGATGCAGGACAACGAAAAATGGGTGAAGGGCAACAGAAAATAGAAGGAGCCCTACAAGCAACCAAAAGAGACCTACAACAACAAATAGGAGAAGGACAACACAGAATGGAAGCGATACGGCAGGAACTAAGGTCTACACAAGCTCAATGGGAGAAAAAAATTCAAACCGACTACAACCAGCTCAGAGAAGAAACCCAGGTGGGAATCAAAGAAAATAAATTGGAGATTCAAGCGACGAGAGCTGAAATGGAATACAGCCAGAAGAAAGCCTATGAGAAGTGGGATGAGAAGCTGGAAATGCACACGACTAGAACAACAAGCAAGTTTGAAGAACAAGAGGAAATAATTCAAGACATTCAGGCCAAACATGGGAATTTCAAGGAGCGAGTCAAGGATGCAATTGTGGAAATTGAAGGAAGTATGAAGAAAAACGAAGAGCGAATTGACCATCAGGATGAAGAAATAGGAATCATCAAGGCGAATTTAGAAGCTCGACCAGCCAAGGAAACCAATTCCCATCCAGCAATTATTTACAAGGCGGATCATTTACTTCACCAGAAGCCTAAGAAATTTGACGGCAACATTTGGACTATCCATCCAGTCAGCTTTTTGGAAGGACTGGAAAATTATTTAAGACATTTCGATAAAAAAGATGAAACCAAGTTATCATATGCCAAGGAAATGGTGGAAGGGAATGCCAAAGCATGGGCTGATTTGAATCGTAACAACTGGAAGACTTGGGAGGAATTTAAGGACGCTTTTATCAAGAACTACTGGTCTGAAGAGGTACAAGGCAAAATACGACTTCAAATAGCTACACCCAGACTATATCAAGCGAAATTTGGAAAGTACACCGACCATGTTTGGTTTTGGGTAAATAAGACCAACCACCTGCAACCTCCAATGAGAGAATCCCAGCTTGTCGACGCTTTATCCCGACATTTTCCAAGAGAGGTGGAGCACATCCTCATAGGATCAGCAGTGAACACCGTCAAACAACTTATCAACACTCTTGAACGAATCCAAACCTCAAATCAAGAAACCAGGCCAAGATATAATGGACCAAATAGAAGTCAAGAGAACACCAGAGAGGAGCCAGAGAGGCAAGAGCAGAGAAGACAAGTAAACTACATACGAGGTGGATACAACAACTTCAACAATTACAGAAGAGGAAGGGGCAATTACGGACCAAATAGAAATTTTGAAGTGAGAAGGAGAGCAGAGGCTCCCCAGCCGGAAAACTACCAGAGCAGGGACCAGGAGCTCCACTAGTCCCTCAGACATCACGAAGATCTCTGGAGCAAACAAGTTTATTAACCAGCGTTCACAATTATTTCCAACGATTACGACAAAAACCTACTAACACAACAAATGAAAAACAAATTCAAGATAATAAAATCACATCAATAGGAACAATCAAACATCAAGAAAGAAATTATGAAGAGGAAAAATTAAACAACTTTATTGAAGATTTTAAACAAATTCAACCAGAAGAAGAGGATGAAGAAAATATTTTGAACAACAATGAACAACAAAATTTGAGCGACGATGAAAAGGAAGAGGAACCGATACTAATGAATCAAATTAAAGAAAATTATCAAGATGATGAAGATTTTTTGAGCGATCAAGAAGAAGAAGCAGAGATTATTGATGATGGACAACCAATTATAATAGGAAAGCTGGAGGGGGTGGAACAACAGTTATTATTGGACACCGGTAGTCAAGTCAGCGTGGTTTCCGAAGAAGTTTTTGAATTTATACAAAGAAAAAATCCAAGAGTTATCACATTACCAGTTAGTGGAATCACGATTCAAGGAATTACTGGGAAAATAGTAAAGGTTGTCAACCAAGCCCTACTCACCTTACAGATTCAAGACAGTACATATGAACAGAAATTTTTGGTTGTGAAGAAATTAGAAACAACAGCAATATTAGGCACCGATTGGATGAGAGACAAGAAAGCCAAGATTGATATGGACAGAGATGAAGTTTATTTTCAAGACAATGATGTCGATTACTACATTCGGTTTCAAGGAAGAAGTTTGAAAATTAGAACAGCAAATCTTCAAGTAAATCAGCCTACGGGAAGTAGAGAAGAGAATGAAGCCATCGAAGAATTGATTAGTCAATATGAAGATATTTTTTCAACCAAGCCAGGATTAGTCAAGAATTTTGTCTGTCAACTCAAAATTAAGGAAGCTACCCCATTTTTCAAGAAGAGTTATCCAATACCATTTTCCAAAAGGGATGCTGTAGACCAAGAAATACAAAGGATGTTAGACAACAATATTATTGAGAGATCATCATCACCTTTCGTCAATCCGATTGTCATTGTGAATAAACCTGGAGGAGCCGTGCGAATTTGTTTAGATGCCAGGAAGTTAAATCAAATTATTGAAGAAGATAGAAATTCGCCACCCAATTTAGAAGAAGTTCTGGAACGTTTTGATAATCCAGAGTACCTGAGTTCCATGGATTTGACGGCTGGCTATTGGCAGATTCCACTGCATCCAGATTCAAGGAAATATACCTCATTTTTGGTAAATGGAAGGAGTTACCAATATAAAGTTTTACCATTTGGACTAAATATTTCGGTAGCAGTTTTCAATCGTTGCCTAGATCAAGTTTTAGGACCAGAAGTACTATCATATGCCCTTATTTACGTCGATGACATAGTAGTAGCATCGAAAACTTTTGAAGAACATGTAGGACACCTCCGTTTAATATTTTCAAAATTAAAAGAAGCCAACATGACCATTAATGTGAAGAAAAGCAAGTTTCTTCAAGAAGAAATACAGTTCCTAGGACATATAGTGAGAAGAAAAGAAGGAATTAGAATAAATCCTGAAAGATTAGAAGCTATTAGAGGGTGTCAACCACCAAGAAACTTGAAGGAACTACAGTCATTTTTGGGAATGTGCAATTTTTACAGAAGATTTAGGAATCATTTTTCAGAAGTTAGTCAAGGATTTGCACCACTATTGTCGAAAAATTCCAAATGGGAGTGGAATGAGAAATATCAAAGGATTTTTGAAGAGTTAAAGAATGGATTCAATGAAGAAATGATTTTGAAGTTTCCAGATTTTAATAGACCTTTTATTTTATACACAGATGCATCGATTAATGCTTTGGGAGCCCATTTATATCAACAAGACGAGAAAGGAGAAATGAGAACTTTAGCATTTGCCAGCAGAGGCCTCAAAGATGCTGAGAAAAGGTACAGCATCACAGAATTAGAGCTGTTAGCTATTTTATTTGGAGTAATGAAGTTCAGAACCTACATTTTAGGATATCCTGTTGTCATATATACTGATCACAAAGCATTATCATTTTTATTAACCTGCAAGTCTTTAAATTCAAGACTACAAAGATGGTCTTTAAAACTTCAAGAGTTTAATCTACAAATTGAATATTGTCAAGGAGCCAAAAATAGAATAGCAGATTTTTTATCAAGATATGGAGTAACGAAAAAGAACCAACCAGCAATTACCATCGGAAAAGTGAAGAAAAAGAAAGAAGATAAGAAATTGAAAAATATACTCAAGAATATCAAGACTGAACAAGATGAAGACGAGAAGTGTAGTTGGATCAAGAAAGAAATTGAAGAAAACAAGCATGGAAGAGCTGAAAAATTGAAAGAAAAATTTATTTTACATCAAGAAGTTCTATTTCGGAAAAGCAAACGAGCTCAAGAGTGGTGGGTGATTTTCCTACCTTATATTCGACACAGAGAAATTATTGAACTTTATCATCAGCGAATGGGACATTTTGGAACTTCGAAAGTCTCTGCCGAGATTTCAGAAAATTGGTATATTCCCGATTTGGAGAAGAAAGTTAAACAATTATTAGCAGCATGTGATTTATGTCAGAAAACCAAGATTAGAAATCAGAAGCAGGAAGGATTAATGAAGAATGTTATAGCTGAGAACCCATTGGATATAGTTTCAGTAGATATTTTCGGTCCACTACCAAGAAGTAAAGGTGGAGTTGAGTATATTTTCGTAGCCCTGGATTTATTTACAAAATATGTGAAGTTATACCCTATGAAGAAAGTAAATACAAGGATGATTTTGAAGAAGATGATGGAAGACTTTATACCAAATGTAGGAAAACCAAAAATGATTTTATCTGACCACGGAAGTCAGTTCACAGCGAAGAAATGGGCTGAAGAATTTAGTAACAGGGAAATAGAAGTAAAGATGACCTCGGTTTATCATCCCCAGTCAAATCCTGTTGAAAGGGTTATGAGAGAATTAGGAAGAATGTTTCGAACTTATTGTCATGAGAATCATGGAAATTGGGCCAGTTGGGTGAAGCAAATTGAGCTTTGGATTAATGCATCTATACATGATAGTACAGGTTTCTCACCGATAGAATTATTAAAGAAGAAAGAAACCGATCAGTTAGTAGAAAGTTTAATTCAGTTTCCCATGAGAACGGATTTGGGAAAGGATATCAAGATAAGATTGGCAAGAGAGAAGCTCAAGAGCAAGGCCGAAAAAAGAAAAGATAAGCATGACAAGAAAGTGAATAAACCTGTGAAGTATAAACCGGGAGATCTGGTACTTTTAAGAACACATTACCAATCAAGTGCTGTGAACAAAGAAATAAGAAAATTTTTCCTACTTTATGAAGGACCGTTTGAAGTGGTTGAAGAAACAGAAGTTAACGCTTATAGGTTGAAGAATCCAGACACAGGTATGAATAGGGGTGTTCATAACGTAGTTAATTTGAAAAGGTATATAAAAATTCCCCCGGAACCTCAGTTAGTGCAGGTAGTCCAAAACATAGATATAGGCTAGAAGTTTTGTTAGAGTTTTTAATGGTTTTGTGTGTGGGAACCAAGTTAGTTTGTTAGTTTTTTAGGTTTTTATCTAGTTTATCCCTATCATTTTTGGGAAGAAAGTTTTTGTTTTCATTTTGTATCAAGGAACCAGTTTTAGGTTCCTTTCTATTTCATTAGGTTTTGTCATCCCCGTGTAGGGACGGGAGTAGCATGCTACATGTAGAATATTCCTACTGCAGAGGACACTGCATGTCGTAAGAGGCGACTAATCAACAGTCCAAGCCCCCCCCCCATTGTTTCCCTTGATTTGGGACATTTTTATCTATTACCGTTGGCTATAGTGAAGCCCATTATTGAATTTCTCAATTTTGAATTTCTTTTTACAAAATTCTTGGAATCCTCGCCGGTCATTTTTTATAACATGCTTGACATTTCTAATATCTTATCGATGTTGAATATTTTGTCTTTTTGAATAACTTGATAATCCTTTTAATAACCCGATCGATAACACGGTCCCATCTCTAAATATTGCCCTTTAGATAGTTGGCGCTCGGTCGCGCGATCCCTTTTGTTTTTCTATCTATACTTTTCCTCGGAGAACCATATTTTATATATACATCTGTCTATTTGTCTTTTTTATAACCAGTCTAATATAATACCATAATCTTTTATACTACCTGTGGCTATAGTGAAGCCTCGTGTTTGTTTAAAGGAAATATTTTTTAATGAGTACAAAATCTTACAATCCTGAGGAATTGGGATTTCTCCATTTTATAATATTGAATACTTTTATATACTGTCTAATATATCTTACCCTCCATAAGTGCAATAGTGATGCACGTACATATTTTCTCATTATTTGTCTTATATTTGACCCTCCTTAGCAACAGTGATGCTTTTTTAGGATTCAGGATTTTTCTTATATTTGAGATTTTTGGGATTTAGTTTAGGATTTGTATATACGTTTTTCCACACACAAAAGTAGGTTAGTATTATGGACTACTTGACATGCTAGATTATTATGCGTTGACTTCTATAGGATTTTTTGATATGAGTATACCGATTTTTGACATATTTTTTTCGATTTGTGATTTTATGGATTTTGTCCTTTTTGAACGGTCAGGAGGCGAGCTTAAGAGCTACTCTCCAGCTATGGAACCGTGTTGTGAGGGAGTTTTTGAGTTTCGTGAAAGGTTTTAGAGTCTTTGAAGGTGATGCCACCAGGAATGGTGAAGGTCCTCCCACATTTTTAGATGTTTGTGGATAGTTTTGTGAAGAGTGGTGCTGGACAGACGATTATTTTAATATTTTACGAGTTAGGATGAGTTGAAGGTTCCCTTCGTAGGTCCTTCAGACCGCCCCGCTTTTCGGGAATCGATGTAACATTTAGGAGGTTGCTACCCCTATTTCAAGACCAACACTTCTTAGTTGGGTGCTTATGTTGTGGCGTCATAAGTACAGTTTTTTTTATGTAGTACCAGAGGTAGGTTCTTTCTACGGTACTACATGCCAATTTTTTCCTTCTTCTATGAGACAATTTCAACTTTTTTGTTGGAACATTTTGATAGTAGGCGTGTATATTTTTAACATTTTGATATTTTGTAAAACATTTTTCTGGTTCTGAGTAGAATCTTGTTTAGAATTTTTGTGTGAAAATTTTTTTTTTATATCACCCATTTTTTATTTTGTTGTTTTCCAAACTCATCATGCTTCTTCGTTTAAAAAACAGAAGGGGGTACTGTAACGGGTGGAGTAATGGCCGGTCGAAATTTTGCAAATTTTTCGGATATCGATTTGGATTTGTACTAAAATTGGATAAACCTTTCTTCCTTTTGGGGATAAAATTTTTTTCGCTTTGTAACTATTGTAGTATGACATCATGTTGGGTTCATTGTATTAAACTTCCTTGTGCCGCGATTCGCAATAAATGGGATCACAGAAAATTCTCAGTGCAAAACAGGATGCAGATAACGAATAAATATCGGATTTCTTTAGATAAGTTTTTTTATCATTGAGTCACCAGCCAAGCTTGGGAAAGCTGGTTCTGCAAACGCTGAAAAAATTAGTTGATAAGTATTCCCCAGTTAATTGGTTTAGATGGAGGCCATTGTATGAGAAGTACCAGTAATAAAAAAGATCAGCCATTTTGCAACGATTAAGGGGCGTGAATATGTTAGGAGAGAGTTAAGAGGAAAAAATTTTTAAAAAAATTATGACTGTGTAGCCGGGCCGAAGAGATCGTAAATTTTCAATCGCGTGCATTAAGCACCAAATAAGTGATTCCGTTTAAGTGACGGTCGATATTAGTCCAGTTTAAGTACAGTTTTGCACCATTAGTTAAAACGTGAATTTTCCATTGTGTAAATTTCACGCCCGAAGAGAAAAAGTAAATCGCGGAATCTTAGTTAAAAATTTGTCAAGCGTATTGTGCTATGAAATCATCCACATAGTGTTGAAATTAAAATTAGACGTGGACATTACGTATCAAATATAAAGCGCTAAGTAAATTCGAGCGATAATAGCTGTGTGATATGAACCCTTGTTCTTAAAGGAAAATAATACGAGCGCATTTTTGGCATCTATCCGACGGAACAAATTTGAACGTTTCACCCATTTGCCGTTGTGTTAAAATTTACTATTGTGCCTCCTTGGAATATAACCATCAAAGTTTTTTAAGTGTGGATAGCCGTTTTCATCAAAGTAATGTGTTTTAAAAGTTCAATGTAATAGTTTGTTATGAAAAAACTTCTTTAAATCGACCAAAAATCAGGCAAATTAATTCACGAACTTACGCAAATTAAGGTGTTCACATCAATAAAATTTCACTGTGGGATTATACCTACAAAACTACATGTTTTTGGAAAATCTCGTCTACCTTCTACAAGGAAAATAACCTACTCAACAGCGAGCCAAGGATTTTTCAACTGTAATCATCAGTTAGCATTTGGCATTCCAAAAGTTGCAGTCTACCCCATCCATCAATCAACTAGCATGTAAAGGGCTTCCCAATCTTCATCGAAGTCCTGGATTTTTAAAGGTTAGTCTATTTGGAATATTTTCATTGTAATAAAAATAAAGTCAATTTGTGTGTATTTATATGTTTTATGATATGTTTTAATCGATTGTTTATTGAATCAATTTCCTTAAAGAAGGTAATTAATTATATTTGAAATAGTGGAATTTGTGTCAAGGAAAATTCAGTATAAAAAATAATATTCACCTCTTCAAGGGAGAGAACATATTGTGAGTTGGCCAACAGAACTAATAATATTCAAATTTTTTGATAGCTTAATAAGGTTTTAGTCATATTTCCCAATTTTTATAATATTGATTGTAAAGATCGCAATTTTCTGGAATGCATTGGATTTTGCATTAAAATAAATGAATGAAATTATGGCCATTGAGTTGATGATTTTTCAACGAGAAGTTAGATGAGAAGTAGAGTAATTAACACCAGTAAAAAGTGAATTAGATACCTGATTTTTCGTGGAAGTAAGACAGTAGAAATTTTGTATGTAAGTATTTGAGCTAGTCGGAAGCGAGGTAAAGATTTTGTGATTTTATTAAGAATTAGCGAATTTTGGTGAGATAAGCTATCCAAAAGGGTTGATGAGGTGAGAGAGGAGAGAAGGGAGAAGCGGGTACGTGTACCTGAGGTGGTTGTGTTTATCCGTAAAAAGAAAGCACCGCCACAATATATATTAAATATTTCCCCAACAATATTGTATAAACATTACTAATTTAATATATTATTAATATGTATAAATATTAACAAATAGCATACTAATGTTTGAAAAATACACAGAGAAAAAGGTTTATTTACACGAAACAAAAATTATTTGTCATAAACAAATTTGTTGTTTGTATATGGCGAAGCAAATATTTATTTCACTGATCTAAATAGTTTGTTTGATTTCTTCAATAAAATATTATGTTCAATTAATGCTATAAAGATACACGATGTAAATAATTTGGTCTTCGAATAAACTATGCATTTTTTCAACGTAACTTGGTCATCTCTTTGGCGTAAAACCGATATATTTTAATTGAATGCAATTAATGTATTGAATGTAACAAAATATTATTTGAATCGAGACTTAAAACACTTTGTTTCAAATAAAGAGGAGTTTTGTTCAAAAAAATGATTTATTTATTGCAAAGAACCTATTATTCAGCCTATGGGTCAATTTATTTAGCACAAACTTTAAACTTGTTTCAACCAAAGTAATTTTTGTTTATATTAAAAGATATTTATTACTTTTCGTAATAAAATTTATTTCAATAGAAAAAACGTTTATTCTAAGCAAATATATATTTATTTAATGTAATACTACTTATTTCAGTGCTAGGTGGAAACTATACATAATATACAATATTATATAATATATAAAACAAAAATTAAAAACTTAATAACACATTCTTTGGCAATAAAAATAGTATTGTCGTATATAGAAAAAAAATAAAACATGATCCTTATTGAAGCGCACATATGACTTTAGTTCCGTTTGCCATAGTATGAATGTTATGACATAAGTGGTTTAGAAGGCGGTCTATGGGCATAACGATCAAATTTATTGAATCATGCGTTGACATAGAATCTAACACTTCGTATCCACCGATATGAGTATTTAGACCGATTAAATGAAGTGGCTGAATTATTAAAAAAAATATATTTTGCATTTTGTTTCCAAGTATGTATTTTATTGTGCCAAACTGTGGTAGATCCGAGGGTAGATCAGTTTCTTCGTCATTATTAATTTGAGAAGCATACCCTAATTTATATTCAAAACTATTTACTTTTAGCCAAGACGTATGAAACAGATTATCAATTTCTATTTGATTCTTTTCGAGTAATTGTTTCAAAATAAAAAAATCTTTTAATGATGCAAGATCCTCAAAATTTCCACAAGTAATGTTGTCATTAAACCCTTGTCTACTTAAAAATCTATATGAAAGTCTGAGCTGCTGTTTAGTAGCTAATGTAAGAAGAATATTTTTTCTGGAAGTTACAGAATTTGCAGTAGATTTTAAAACTTTGTGAAATGCTTCATATCTCATTGACCAAATATGTCTCAAAGGTCCTAAATTCAAAATAACTGTAGGATAATGGATCATGAAATGGTGTTTTGGTTTTAATGTCTGATCAAATAACTCGCAATATAATCTGTGGTGTTCTACAATTAAAATTTCAAGATACTCTATTGTCTGTTTTGAAATGATTCGACTGAGTAAAATATCTATTATTTGATACAGTATAGTATACAATTCCCAGCAACTGTCCTTTTCTGGAACTAAGTCAGCAATAAGTATGCCGAAATATGAAAAAAACCCTAACATTTGCGAAGCACTCATTATAAGGTACTTTTTTTTTAATATGTTCAGGTTTAATTTCAACCAATGGATTTCCTATATCGACTGCAGCAAAATTAAAATAACAAATTCGATTATTTAAATTATCTAAAGTGAAATATTTTTTTGTCAGTAAGTGGTCAATCAAATAAGCCATTTCATATCGTAGGATACCTTCCAAAATATCGTGCATGATATCGCATGATGTATTCCTAGCTACTGAAAAATTTGGTAATTGATTAAAGATACAGGGTTCTTTTATGCCAGCTGAAAGAGTTTCAACATCTTGGAGATAATTTTCTTCTGTACGAATTTGGGAAGGGTCCTCCACAAATTGAGTTTTGCTTTCAGCTTTGGTACTTTTGCATATACGACAAAAATTATTTGCCTGAAAACTCTCAGTAAACCCTAAAATTGAATTAAGTCCTAAATTATCACCAAGAACGGTTACAACAGTGAAATACACATTAATTTTTTTGGTATTAAAGTTTATGGTTATGCCTTGGGTTTCAAGAAATATCAACTCGTCCATTAGTTTCGAAAATATCTTTTTATTACCAAAAGCAGTTCGATCTGAAGAGTAAAATAAGCAACATACCAAAATATTTTCCAATAATGTAGCAAGCTCGGGAGGAATACAAGCCAAGGACACATAGGTTGCTCCAATTTTGTATACACCGGCTTTGCTTCCCAGAGGGTTGCAACATTCAAAGTCGTCGAAATAAATTAGTAGTGGTAGTATAATTTTATCATTTGGATACTTTTGCACTAAATTCCTCCATATTTGGCCTTGAAACACACTTGATAGTAAATGCGGTGGAAGTGACATTTCTTTTTGCATGTAGGACATTATAGTTTGAAAAATATTTGGTAATTCTAAAAACAACTTAAAAATTTTCCTTAAAGGAATAATTTGACCTTCTATTTTTTTAAATGTCATTGCAGTGGAATTAGAAATGTCATTTCTTGATCTTAATTTTTGCAATGACGGCTGCTCTCCAATTATAAAAGTTTCTGGTTTTATATAAGTATTCAAATTTGTGAAGTACTTAAATCGTAGGTACTCACTACCAAGTTCTTCAAGAACATTTAATAAATCCGAAAAAACGTTTGAAATTGCCAAAACATGTTGAGATGTTAATTCTAATTGTTCCATTATAGACTTTAAATATGTAGACAGATTTCTCATCAATTCTGTAACACTCTCAACTACAAGTTGAACAATACTCCTTGGTAATGAAGACATACTGTACAGGCGTCCTATTAAAGCAACAATTTCATTTATGAGAGGATTATCCGAGAGAGTGTCGGAATTAAATTTATCATCATCATTGCAATGTGCAACGGGTGCTTCAGATTGAGAATCGGGATTTGTGCCGGAACTCTGTGGAAGATTAAGTAGTTGTAATGGAATTGCACCTCTAGTCTCATTAGTAATCGGATGAAAATGTGTATTGTTTATATGTTTGCGGAAGCTTGCAAGACTACAAAACTCCCTACCACAGTTTGCTTGCACACATTTAAAGTTATTTAACAAGGAGTGTATAATTTTTAAGTGATTCAATAAATTCTCAGGGGACGAACATGTTTTTTTACATTGGAAACAAACAAATGTTGCTTTAAGTTCAGCCATTTCACTGTAAAAGGTCTTGAATGAAGGGAATTTTTATGTCGCTTGCAGTTTTTATTCTGTAAGAACAAAATTGTAATAAATACCATATATGTTGGCATTCAAAAGGATATTTGACATCCAAGACATGAAATGACTTAAAGCAAACATCTATTGCTTCATTAACAGATAATGTTTTATACATAAAATTATTAATAACAACATACGAAGAAGTGATATTGGTTAATGCAGGACCTACTAGTAAAATATACGGGTGCACAGTAAGACCCATTGCATACATTGCGTCAATTTTCGTCGACTTGCACCTCTCAATATCGCCAGGAGTGTACGCATGTATAAAAAGTCCATTTTTACATTCTGCAGTAGATGGCTTCCAATGGCCTTTGCCTTTCACCCTCGTCCTTCCTTTAGGAGGTACTAACAGTGGCAACAAAGACAACTTCACTGCATTCTGGGAGTCTGCAAATACAATTTCAAATTAGAATCCACGTAGTACGAATGTGAATCGCTTTTTGAGCAGAGATGAGGCAAGTCTCGTCTTATACAATTCATGTATATATGCAATAGTTTACCTGTAGTTAAATTCTCGCCATTCAGCAAATCCAGTAAAGCTGTATCCGAAGCAGAAAAATGCTTTCGCCTTTTTTCTAAAATGTTTTCAAAAAATTCATCGAAATTCAGTTGCGTGTACGAATCTATAATACTATCGAAATCTCTTAGAATCTGTGAAAAATACATTAATTATAAAGTTGTATAAAGCAAATTAGGGTTTAGTATTACCAGTTCTACTGCAATTTGGTTTTTAAGTATTGGCCACTGGTCAAAAAATTGAGTAACAGATTGGTCACTGTGATCCTTTCGTCGAAGTTGAAAGGACTTCTCCCAGTGCTGTATCACTTCATGTAAAGGCTCTGAGTTTAGTTGCAGCCAAATTTTACTGTCCTTTTGACCTTCCGAAATTTCTGAAAAGGTACAAATGAGAAAGAAATTGTTAAAATATATTATGACTGGCTTACCAATACTTTGCTGATTAACACCTGTTTGTGGGGGATGCAGTTCAGTAAACTCTTGGGCACGCCTTAACGCCGTTAATTTATTTCTGTGTTTATCAACCAATTTTCCTCGTGCTACAATTGGCTTATTCAAAGAGGAATGTTTTTTGGGGATTGGGTCTACATAATATGTGGCCTTCTTCTCAGTCGAAAACAATTCTACTATTTTGTCCGCAATAAACGAAAGGGATTCGTTATTCAGTCTTTTCCCCTTATTTAAAAAATGCGTTATTATAATTTCACAAATTACATTTCTGTCTTTATTAGAGAATGTGTGAAGATGTTCAAATTTTTTTAGAAGCGTTTGCCCAATAGCGTCATTTTGTAAAATATCTTTGAGGACAAAGGTGCAGTCGTCCACGGAAATCGTGGAAATAAAAGAGGAATTAAGGCCGCAATCTTCGTTAGAAAGGTTTGTAATCGTGCTAGCAGAAGCCGTGGATGGTGTGTTTACCACCCAAAATACTTCAGGCGTGCCAATATTTTCCGACTGCGGAATATTTTCTTGTTCAGTAGAATGGAACCTTTTTGGTGACACGGATGGTGAATGTTCTATCTCTTCATCGGCAACCCTTTTCTAAAATAAGATGAAATCTTAAAGTCTAATAATAAAAATTAAAATACTTAATTACATTATTTTCGTTGACAGAAGGGCTCTGTAATTGCAAAAGACCTTTTCGAAAACGAATTTGGTCCCCGATGCGTGGGATAAGGCTGCCGATCTGCACATCAGTAAGAAGTGGCAAAAATTCAATTTCGGTAACGTTCTGTTCTACAAAAAATGAACTAATAAACATATTACTCAAATACAGCATGGGGGGGGGGGGAGGTTGATAATTGACTAACTATCACAACGTCGATATAATAGCCTTGAAACGAACTTTGATTTAAGGAGAAAAAGTTACAGCTGATTCAAGTCATTTGAAACATTATAGGTACCTATTGCAGGCAAAATTGTTTCAAGTACAATTTCTCAAATTACTTCCAACAGTACCTGAATATACATATCTATAATTTATTACATTGGTTAGAGATCTTCACCAAAGAGCGATGACTGAAGATAAAGTAATATAAAATAAATAGCATTGGCTTTTCACGGTTTGCATTGTATGCATATCTATTTAAGGCTACATATAAGTAAGTTGGAATAGTATTGTTAAAAAAATGTTTCTTACCTGTAAAAGATGGTAATAGATGGTGTAAATTGTTTTTCACTAAAAACTCCTCCATTTATATATAGGTACTTAAAACTTCAAACAAAAACCACAGCTTAAAAACCTCAAGATGTTACCATACGAAGACGCAACGAAATAATGGCGCATGACTCAATCGTTATGATGCATTTGCGAAATAAAGTACCTACCTACTTGTAACAAAACAATTATTTGTTGAATCAAACAAATATTCCTTTGAATTAAACCATAACGCAATTTTCGTTCCTCGAAACAAATGTTTCTTTCCTAAAAGATTTTATAATATCGATCCAGCTCATTAACAAACAATTTATTTCTTATAAACAACG